GAGCGGTCGACAAGGGTTGTCACATGTTTATTCCTTTGTAGGTAATTGGGGGCCTTTACAAGACAGTTCCATACAGATCAGATTATAATTTTTGTCGTTTGGGGGTTCACAAGGTTTTACAAACTGAAACAAGGGAATCAACTTTGGAAGTACATGTAGTTTACAGAAATTGTTTAAATTTGACAGGCTTTTTCGGTTTACTAATTTAAGTAAAAAATCTGTATGTAGGCGAACAGCCCTTCCAGATTTCTCTCAGCTACTAGTTTCGTTCTTATTTGAACTCTTCAGGCTTAAATGGGGATGTGCGTTGGCCCTCTATATATAGTCTAGGTGGGTACCGGAGCACATGTGACGTCACAGATGGACCGGAGTCAATCTTTGGCAGCGGAGTCGATTATTCCGCAAAGTGTGCAAAGATGTTCGGGTAAAGAAATTGCCGTTATAAATATGCTAATTAGCACTGTCTCAAAGGCTCCTAACCCTAATGGACTTTAAGTTTAAATTTTTCTAAACTAGAGAGGGACTAAAAACAACTCGATTGGGTTAAGGGCGTGTATGCACTAATTTTTTATTAGTTATCGCCGTGGGGGTACCACGGCTAGATTAAGTGGGAACTCGTCCCTTTTTTTTATATTCTGCCTTGGGTTAGGCTGAGAATTACGCTACTATTTTGCATACTGTGAAAAGTGGCTCTAGGAAAATCTTTTTTGAATTCAACAAGGAGCTCACGAAGTTGTTTTTGCGTTTCTCTATTGAAACGTTGTAAAAAACCCAGTCTTCTTTGCTAATGTGTGATTCTGCCAAATCATCGCGGTTCAATGTGCGAAAAACTGGCCAGGCCTCTAAATCGAGACAAGGATCGACTCCTTCGCAAAAGGCCTCCCAGTTACTCATGGTTAGGAATGGTATAGGACAAGGCGATCTGTGATATTTTACCTCCGCTGTTTCGGAGGCATTGTCCGTAATAGTAGCATCCCTGGTTTTGATGCTATTATTTGAACAACTTTCCTTACATGAAGGGGAAAGATGACCGATGCTTTGTTTCACAGCGTCGTCCAAGATATCGACTTGGTGTTTAATTTTCTGGTGACGGTTAAGATCGTCCAACCTTTTGTAATTTCGGTTGCACGATTTACACCAGAACCTAAGCTGGGTATGAAAGCTGCGGGAGTGCCGCTTCAAATTGTATGAGCGCGTGAAATTCTCCCTGCAAATTCCACAGATGTTGTCCCGAGGGGTTCCCCCATTTTATTGTTCACTCTTGCTAATTTAAATCATGCACATAAATTTCATACAGAACGGATGATCACTTTTGTCATTCAAACATTCAGAGGGTTCACAAAGTAAAACAAGGGCCATAACTCTAGAAATAATTGGCGGAAATTGCTGAAATTCAATAGACCTCTGTTTCGCAAATTTTAATGATGCATATAAATTTCATACATATTGGATGATAACTTTGATCAATCGAGCATTAACAAAGTTGAACAAAGTGAAACAAGGGCCATAACTCTAGAAGGATTTATTGTAAATTGTAGAAATTCAATAGGCTTCTTTGTTTCACTAATTTAAATAATGCATATAAATTTCAGAAAGATCGAATGATAACTTTTGACCTTAGAGAATTCACAAGGTTAAACAAATGGAAACAAGGGCCATAACTCTAGAAGTAATAAACGGAAATTGCTTAAATTCAATTGGCTTCTTCGTTTCCCTAATTTAAATATTGCATATAAATTTCACAAAGATCGGATGTTAACTTTTGGCGTTAGAGGTTAACAAAGTGAAACAAGGCCATAACTCTAGATGTAATACACAGAAATTATTGAAATTAAATAGGCTTCTTCATCTCACTAATGCAAACATACATCAATTTTAAAACGATGGACGGACCAACCGACGGACGGGGGCGACGGCAATATACGTCCACATAAAAATTATATATAAATTTGAAATTGATCAGATAGTCTGTAGAATGTTCACGTAAAAAAAAAATACATAATACATCACAGAAAGAATTTAACCTTCATTCGACACAAACTAGGTCACTTCTGGACTAAAAAATCATTCAGTTTTATTTCAATAATTCTTTAACATTGGGAGAAAACCAGAGGACCCGGGAAAACCCCACGAGATTGGATGGACAACCCTAATCCTTGTCAACTACAAGCCGGGAATCGTCGACACAATGACAGATTATATGAACTAAAGCGAACACGTTAATCCTGGGTTGGAACTTTCAAGAAACTATTTAATCTATTAACAAGATAATGGCTACGAATATATTTGTCTTTCTCAAATAACCCTAACCCTACCCTAACCCTAGTAGTGAGTAAGATAGCCCGCTAACCTAGAGGTCACGTTAGAGGTGCAGGATGGATGGCTTGGCAAGGGATAGCGTATAGTCACTTGGATGGGACGAAAAACCGAGGTCCTGTATACACATTGGTGTGCACGTAAAAGGAATTCCATATAAGACTAGGCCGCATCATACATCTCTATACAGCGGGTTATCTTGACTCTTCTATAATGTATTATAACAATATTACTTATATTCTCTGTCATCAACGAGTTCTTGATGTGGAAATTTACACAGAAATATTTATTTATGGCGAGGGATATATCATGATATCTTTCCTATCTAAATTACATCCTGCTTATAAATAGAACAAGTTGTTGATGTAGGTATATGTATATATTTATAAGCAGGAGGTAATTTAGATACGAAAGATATCATGATATCATATCCCCAGCCATAAATAAATATTTCTGTGGAAAATTCCACACCAAGAACTCGTAGTAGGGTGAAATTCGTTTATAAATATGTATTATTCCCACAATTGATAATTACGACCCAATAGTAAATGTTTAATACGTCGTACTAATCCACACCGTATTACTTAGTTCAGTCAGCTATATTTTAATGAATCTTAATCCATCTTAATTTCCCCCATTTATATCTATATCATATTTCCCTAATCACCTGTCTCCAATATTCTTTGTTTTACACTATTAAACATACATTATGGGAGATTAAATAAAGAGCTGGCAGTTCTCACTATAATAGTTAAAAGCTAGATAACGTAAAAAGAATTTGCTGAAAATTTTAGTCAAATTGATAATCTCTGAACCGAAAAATTTGCGACTGAATTTTTGGCCTAGCCTCGATCATCATTACTAAAGTCGGTACGATAAAAAGCGTGGTCTCGATTATCCATTTCATGATTTAATCATGAAGCAAATCAGAACCTAATCCAGTAAATATCACAGGCTAGCCATGACATTGAGAGTTGCTTATGGTCTGGAAAAGTTAATTAATGTCTAATTAATAATTTAGAAAACATTTCAGGCCTAAAGAAAGACCTGCAATTGGCAGATTTAGCTCTTGCATAATGTATGTTTAATTAGACATGGTAAAACAAAAATAAATATGGCTGGAGTGCCCAAGTTTAGATTTGTTGTGAATTCCATAAAGTAGTTAGGTTTTTAAACGTTAAATACTGTGTAATTCAACATGGCACCCGAAGGATTTAATATATTTAGGTACGAATTCGAACCGAATAGTTTATTTATATGAGAGTGAAGGTTTGGACTATGCCTTGGAAATCGGTATGTGTCTCTGTTTTGCGGACCGAGGTGAGATTGTCCGTTGTGTTAAGTGGACAGATAGACCTGTCATCCTTCAGTTATGTGTCTTTGTTGAATGAGTGACTTCTCATCAACCAGATCGGCCCTGGACAGGTTTAATTCTATGGTATCTCTCGTAACTGAAAGAATAAAGATTTTTTAGCCGAGAGAATAATCTTCCGTCAAAGTGGTGGTGGATTCTGAGGCAAAAAAGGGGAATTACGACAGACTAATTTGATCAACAAAATTAGCCATAATGAGATCATTAGCAGACAGTGAGATAATATAAGATAGGCTATGAAGAAATGTTTCAATTTTTACAGATATTTGATTGATTGTCTAATAGAGGTCAAATTGAACAATAACAATCAACACATTACTGAACAAGACAACATGGCACCACCACGATGTGGAGTAAACAACAGAAAAGATAAAATGGAATCAATTTTTTAAATTAATGGGCTGACAGTGGCTGAAACTCTTGGTATACGGTTGATTGGGATCTGGATGACAAGATTTAGGTCTGACTGACATGATCCCAATACAATCAGCTCTAATTCAAACCAACTATGACCATCACCCTGACATCTACTGGATTGTATTAAATAATTTTAATATTATAATATATAGGTTAGTACAGTCATAAACATCCACAGGGCCTTACACACAAAAATACATCCATCTATTAACTTATTTCTGCTAATTTATAATGCACAACTGTTATTAATAAAAGTCCATTATATGCATGTTTTTATTGCTAGAAATTAAACCAGGAATAATTATTATATTGTTCTCTTCAATTTGTTTGTCTATTCTGTACAAATCTCTGTTTTAAATAACACTAAAAAAGATTAAAATTATTCTAAGAAATAAAATCTTGGCATCACTTGTTTGGTCATTTATAAAATTTCCATATCAATTTTCAAGGACAAATGTGGTAGAAAACTTTAAGAGAACTATATGGAAACGTTGTGCTATAAAAACCAGTGACTGTTTTTATTGTGTTCAATCAGTGAATATCACTCAAGGACTCCATGTTAAATTCTACTGTACATCACAAGTACAAGATCTTGACTTCAAGGTCTTGACCTCTTGACCTCTTCAAAGGCTGTGATACATATATATATATATATATATATTTGTAATGATGTGTTATAACCAATTCATCTAAGACAAGTGGTCACTTCCGTAATCTCAACTGTTGTATGTATAACATAATGAATATAGCTGTAATAGAAACTGTGAAATCGAGGACAAGTGTCTGTTGTATAAAACGACCATATAAATATAATCTGTTTTATTGTCAACTTGATAACTCAATAACTACTAAATATAATTGTTGTAGTTCATACATGGACTGTGTCTAACTGTGTTGTACGGTAAAGATGGCAGAAGCAGACACTGATACACAATGCTGTAGTATCTGTCTAGATGATTTCACTAAAGCTAAAATACTGCCATGTTTTCACACGTTTTGTCAACAATGTATAGACGACTATATCAAAGCTCATTCACATCTCAACAAGTTTAATTGTCCTAATTGTAGAACACAGGTTCAAGTACCTGATGGAGGTGCAAGTGGGTTTTCAACAAACTTTTACATCCAACCAAAAGGTGAAACACAAAATCATTTCTGTCCAAGACACAAGGCAAAAGAAATAGAATTTTATTGTCACGATTGTTCTGTTGCTGTTTGTTGTAAATGTGTTATATTGGATCATACAACTCACTCAAAAACAGATCTTACTGATGTAGACCAAGAACTGAGAGGAAAGTTAAACATTATAAAGCGGGAGTTAGAAGGAAAGATTGATGAAGTCAACAAACACTGTGAATCTTTAACCAGTCAAATATCTGATATCAAGAACCAAGCTAAAATAGCCTGTGACAATGTTGATCAAGAAGTTCAAAGAGTTTGTGAAGGGGTCAAAAAACATGGTAGTGATATAAAATGTGAAATGAATAAAATTTGTGACAAAGAAAGTAACAAGTTACAGACATTACATGGAGATATGATCCAATTCAAAAGTTCGCTACAGCCCAGTGTTAAATATATAAATGACGTCCTGAATGGTAAATCTACTGTTCCAGTTGTAGATGCTTTAACCAATGGACACAAACTGACTGAAGATAGCAGATCAACCAGTTTTGATATACCCACAGTAAGATATGTCCATTATACTATGGTAGATATAGATGTTACAACTTTACGTGAATTACTAGGTAAAGTAGAAACAATGGAGTCACCAACCTGGACGTCTAGTTTTAGTTTGAATCAGATAGTGAAGAGAGATGAGATCTACGATGGTGATGATGTAATGATACAAGGATTACCATGGTGTGTATATGTTATATATCATACAGATACTCCATCAGGATTAGGGTATTATCTGATTCTGAGGAGTGTAGAAGATAAAACAGTTAAAACCGTTACAGCTAGTTGGACACTAAAACTATTAAATATAAACGATGCAAGTAAATCTGAAGTACAACAACGTACATCTACATTTACACCTGGTGCTGGTAAAGGATGGAGGAATCTCATAGCGTGGAATAAACTAGAGGATGTAAAGGGAGGGGATATTAACAAAAATAAGACATTTAGTGTACAGGCTTCTGTACAAATAAACAAAATAGAACGCCACTAACATTTATATTACAGAACATAGTACGATTGATCGATGTCATCATAATACATAGAAATATCTCCCCTCTAAAATATGTTAGTTCAATCACAAACAAATGGAACTTGGTTACTTGCATGTCAAATAGATTTTAATGTTTAACTTTAACTGGTTCCCGGATCCATTCACTGTATTTGATATTTGTTGTTTATTTCTTGCAATATCTGTGTAGTATGTCTTGTCCACAGGTTTGTCTTGTCCGTTTTGTTTTGCATGTGGTGTGGTCCTCCTGCACTTACTAACAGAATAAGTTATGCATCAAAGAATGTGTTTGTAATGGCTGTGTGTTTAAAGGACACAATGGTTCTGTGTCCAAAGGTCATGTGTGCAATCGTTGTGTGTCCAAAAGTTGTATGTGTGCAAAGCAAACCAAACAAACAAACCAGCGCCACCTATAAGTGTTAGGTAAAATCTTTTGATGGGCCTCTTTTTTACCTGACTGAATCCAAGCTTGAATTGTTAATCAAATGAGAATGAAGGATTTTACCTATTTTATTCTGAAGATCTGTGAGAACACCTGTAGCAGCACCAGCGAATTCTGGTGTAATATACAACAATCTGAACTGACCCCTGAAAACATAACGTTAATATCAGGTTAACCAGACATATAGACAGGATTTTCCAGCGCATTTTTTTCCCTGTCAGTGGTGCAGAACGGAGGGCTGACAAGGAACAGTGTAGATTCATTCAGATTGGACAGAAAAAACGTGAACCTGTGACATGTTGCAAGTTAGAATTTGAAATTGAAATAAAATTCATTCTGATTAAAATACAGATCTATAACAACTCTTCCAGATCCTAGTGTAGTGATTATTACTGGGAAACTGTATCAATGTTCAGCATTGTATCAAGTTTTACTGTTTTATATTTTTATATGCAAGAGTACACCATGATGGTTTATATTTGTGTAAGAAAGTTGTCATAATTAAAATATATTTGATATAAAAGCCATGTTTTATTTCATTTGAAGTTGGGTTGAGGAACAGGCTAGGCCTATGTTGACCCCTCCATTATTATATTACATAGAAAATATTTCCAGTTGTGTACCCAAGATCCCAACCTTGGCAAAACAGCTATACATTGGTTGATTGGTATTATATAAAATAGAAAATTATTGTCTGTTAAATACTCAACACCACTTGACCCGGGTATCATTTAAACGATTGTTAAAGAAATTAGTGTTGTATACACAAGATTAAATGATACCCGTGTTACAGTGTTATATACACCAGCAGCTGCCAGGCAGGATACGCCCACATTTTCGAGAGATGGATAGAGAACAAGCTAAAAAAAAAAAGTGATTTTTCCTACAATCAAGGGCCATAATTCAGGAAATTACAATTCGATATGCTTAAATATCGAAAGGAAACAACCTTGATATACCATATTTTTACGCTATTTGAGAACGAACGGCGGCCATTTTGTCTGTCAATTTTGGGCCGATTTTCACGAAATTCGAACTCAGCTGTCCTTAGGGTGTAACGGTGATATAACAATACGTTTTTTTAAATCAGACAAAAATTATGACCTCTATAGGGTCCACAAGCTAAAAATGCGATTTTACATACAATCAGGGGCCATAATTCAGGAAGTTACGGTCCGATATGCGCGAATATCGAAAGGAACCGAGATCTTTGGGTTATAAACTTACATTTCAAGTTTCAACAAAATTGGATAACCAGCGGCTGCCAGGTAGGATACGCCCACATTTTCAAGAGATGGATAGAGAACAAGCTAACAAGAAAGTGATTTTTCCTACTATAAAGGGCCATAATTCAGGAAATTACAATTCAATATGCGCGAATATCGAAAGGAACCGAGATCATTGGGTTATAAACTTACATTTCAAGTTTTAAAAAAATCGGATAAAAATTGTGACCTCTATAGGGTCCACAAGCTAAAAACGTGATTTTTCGTACAATCAGGGGCCATAATCCATGAAGTTTCGATCCGATACATGCCAATATCGAAAGCAGCCGAGATCTTTTGGGGAAAAACCTATATTTCAAGTTTCGTCAAAATCGGATAAGAATTGTGACCTGTAGAGTGTCCACAAACAATTGTGGACGGACGGACGTCCGGACAGACTGGGGCGACGGCATAATACGTCCACATGAAAATGTGGGCGTATAAAAATTGTGACCTCTATAGGGTCCACAAGCTAAAAACTTGATTTTTCGTACAAACAGGGGCCATAATCCATGAAGTTTTGATCCGATACATGCCAATATCGAAAGCAGCCGAGATCTTTTGGAGATAAACCTATATTTCAAGTTTCGTCAAAATCGGAAAAGAATTGTGACCTCTAGAGTGTCCACAAACAATTGTGGACGTCCGGACGGACAGGGGCGACGATAATATACGTCCACATGAAAATGTGGGCGTATAAAAAGTGAAACAGGGGCCATAACACAAGAAGAAATTAACGGAAATTATTGAAATTAAATAGGATTCTTCATCTCACTAATGTAAACAACAGATATCAATTTCAAAACAATCAAATGATAAATGTTGCCTGTGTAGTGTCTTCACAAGAATTTGTGGACGATGGAGTGAGCGACGGATGGACGGGGGTGACAGCAATATACGACCACATTTCCATGTGGGCGTATAAAAAAAGGAATTTACAAATACTGGACTTTACTAAATTGATGGACAGTCTCGTACATGTGCCTATTTTAAACTGTGACTAGCTTACCTCATTAATTCTGCTTTTACTACTGCCGTGTTTTCTTGAGCTGATCCAAGCAGACAAGCAGGTATATTGGCCGCTCTAAAATTACAAACCATATATAGACATGTATTTATATAACGTATATAATATTAACAATATATATACAAATTAAACAAGCGGTTGCCATGCAAGATACGCCCACATTTTGCAAGAGATGGACAGAGAACAAGCTCAAAAAAAGAATACAAATTAAAAAATATATCTACATTAGTACCAACCATATATCCAAATACGTTATATTGTAAGCAAAAATATGAGGTGCCCAGTGGCGAGTCCTGAAAATTCCAAATTTAATTCTGGTAAATTGATAGAATTAAAACTAAGTGGGACAGAATTCAACCCTGTCACATTTCTCTCAGTCTTGTTTACTGATGTCTAAATTAATATAAAGTAAACTTTGCATAAGTTGGATCTAAGTGGTCTGAACAATTTTATCCTAGTTAAGCCAAGCTCTGAGTTAGCCGAAGACCGAAATTCATCTTAGCTCAATTAGAAATAAACCGCAAGAATCGGATAATAATTGATTCAAAGGCATATTTGAAGCTTTTGTTGATACGTGCGCGTAGATAACTTCCGTTTTGGTGAGAGTAGATAACTTTCATTTTGGTGAGAGTGGATAACTTCCGTTTTGTCGCCATCTTTGAAAAATGTCTTAAATTTTCCCGCCAAGTGTCTCGTACAGCAGACAGCGAGTTTCAAATTTTCTGGGAAATTGATCCGAGTTGAGTGAAGATCCGAATTAGGAAATCCGACTTATGTGCATAAATTTAAAAAGAAAAACATGGAGGATCAAACAATGTAAACGATTTTATCCGAGTTGAGCAAAAATCCGACTTATACAAAGTTTACTGCATAACAATATGTAACCTACTGAACTAGGGTGGTCAATACTTACATGTACAAAACGTTTAATATAAAACATACTGAACTTACTTGAGACCCAGTACTTGATCTTCCATCAGTGATATCAAGGGGGAGATAACTACCGTTGTCTTTCCTGTATATACTGATGGATACTGATAACATAAACTTTTACCATGGCCTGAAATCAGCATTCTCTACAGATTTTATTTGGTACAAGAAAATCATACAAATATATTTTCAACTAATAACAAATAACGTCCACTCGACTAACGCCATTTCGGGACTAACACATGGTTCAATTTTATTTCACCAATTCGCTTGCACGTAGGGGTCTTGAGCAGTGGGAGGAAACCGGAGGACCCGGAGAAAACCCATGAGGTTGAACAGACGACCCTACTCCTTGTCACTTAAAACTGGGGAATCAAAACCACGCCGGTTGACTCAATGACAGACCTTACGATACAGTGCGCTCGCTCTAAACATTCGGCAATCCAACCCCCCGCAGATGTTAGGGATCAGCTAGTCAAATGGTCTGTTGAGTCAGATTCTGATCGTGTGGCAAACTGTGTGTTGGAAAAGTTGTATTTCCAGATAGCCACTTGGAACACGGACACTGATTGGTTAATCAAATGAATGATGTCACAGGGTCAAAAGTCGCTTGTATGACCCCTGACACGATTTCCCACTAGAAACTGTCAGATGTTAATGTAGTGGACACCATCAAAAATATACAAAAAACAAAATGAAATATAATTCACTTGGGATTAGGGGTCATAAGCTTACGGTGGAAACCGGAGGAAGAGGAGAAAACCCACGAGGCTAGGCGGGTGACCCTACTCCTTGTCACGTACCAGTGTTGGATCAAACAACGCAACTTCACTTGATAACAGACAGAGAAAGAGAAATGGGGTTTAACGTCCACTCGACACAAACTAGGTCATTTTTTGACTAACACATGGTTTAATTTTATTTCAATAATTTGCTAGCGCGTAGGGGTCATTAGCAGTGGGAGGAAACAGGAGGACCCGGAGAAAACCCATGAGGTTGGACAGGCACTCAAAAACAGACCATATGATCTAGACTGATCAACTAACCCTCTTTTTTATTATCAGAAATACTCTAAGTACTACCCTATTATTACACAGTTAATTACCCTAACCCTAACCCTCTAGATGAATGATACCTACCAGTAGCCATTATCACACAATTATCTTTCTTCTCGTTCAGCACAGAATTAATTATCTTCCACTGCATTCTGTTAAAACAACATTTAATACACAGTTAATTCTGTTACAACAACATTAAATTCAAAGTTAATTCTGTTAAAACAACATTAAATACACAGTTAATTATCTTCCACTGTATTCTGTTAAAACAACATTAAATACACAGTTAATTATCTTCCACTGCATTCTGTTAAAACAACCAAAACACAGCTTTTCAATATATATGTGGGTATTACCATGACAACTTAGAAATCGGATTCTTTTTATTCTTACGCATAGGTTATATCTCCGATGCACTGTGGGGGTAATTTCGATGACCAGAGTTGCTACAGACCACCATTATTTTTTCGATTTCTAAGTGTCAGGGGGTCTTTAACATGCACACTTGACATTGTTTTGAGTTTTTTTTGCCCCATAAGATCTATGAATAGGTTTTCTTTGCAAGGAAACCAGACCCGAGGTAAGACGGCAATCTGAGAGCTGTCTCAGCCAACGACAGGACACAGCTACCCAAGGTATGACGGAAGTCTGAGAGATGTCTCTGACATCTTTCTCACTATACTTACGGTCTGAATTTAGAATAACCAAAATACTGTTTAAGAACTTCCAGATATTTTGGTTCTGTTGGTTGGTTACTGGCATCTGCAAGGAGAAAATTAACAAATAATCACAAGAAAGACCAAATAATCCGATTAAATTACATGCATGGTCCTTAAAACAAATATTATATTCTTGTCCAAGAAAGGACTGGGTGACTGAATGGTTTAACCTGTCTGTAGGCTATTAATCGTAAGGTCTGCCACTGAGTCAAATGGTGTGGTGATTTCCCAATTGCATAAGTAGGGTTTTCTCCGCGTCCTCCGTTTTTTCTCATTGCTAACGATCCCTACATTCAAGTCAATTGTTGAAATAAAATTGAACCATATTTTAGTGCCCAGTGGACGTTAAACCCCATTTCTGTCTCCCTCTCTCTTGTCCAAGACTGGTTCCATTATTTCTATTATGTCTTTCTTGTAATTCGCTGAGTATTTTTTTTTCACTCTGGTTTTTCTTTTCTTTCTGTTTTCTTGCAGGAGAGAGGGCCTGACAAGGACAGCTGTCTAGTTGTTTGGATGGGATGAAAAACTGAGGTCCTGTGTACACATTGGCGTGCACGTAAAAGATCCCTTGACAGTTGGAATTCAATATAAGAGTAGGCCATAGTGCTGCTGTCCAGGCAAAATTTCCCTCATAGCACACTGTATGGCGTATGCCCGTCTTCATTAGCCCAGTTCGGAGCAGAACAGTAGGACGTTAAAACCCATTTCATTTCAAGCAATATTCAACATTGATTCCTCATTGAGTCAACTGGCGTGGTTTCGAATCCCCAGTTGTACGTGACAAGGAGAAGGGTCGCCTGTCCAACCTCGTGGGTTTTCTCCGGGTCCTTCGGTTTCCTCCCACTGCTAAAGACCCCAACACGCAAGCGAATTATTGAAATAAAATTAAAAACCATATGTTAGTCCCGAAATGACCTAGATTGTGTCGAGTAGACGTTAAACCCTATTTCTCTCTCTCTGATTGCCCAGTGATACTTGACATCGATCTCCCTGTGATACACCCCAGTATTTTTCAGCTATCTGAGCCTAATTCTGAAGCTAATTTATACTATGCTGTATTTTGTTATATTATTAAAAGTAGAACCTCTAAATCTGATTAAAATAAATTACTTTTCAGGGTTTTCTATACTTTTGATAGCCTCCATTCCACATACATGTAGATCTGAACTTTTGGTATGTGAGGACGTCATTGGTCACATTAGTGAAATTTGAATTGTTATAATTAATCATTGTTTTGTTCTGATTTGGAAATAAATATACCTTCATCTTCGTTTTCATCAACAACAACATTGTCATCCATGATACTTTTCTCTGCCTCGTCAATCATATTGATAGCATCTTCATCAAAATCATCACCAAACTCATCTTCAAATTCATCCTCTAATCCATTAACATCAACAACCTCCACAGTCTAAAATAAATTTATAATTTTATCCAACTTATTTTTTATAGCTACATGTACATGTACATGAACTTCTCATTTCAAGTTGCTTTTGTCATCGAGCATTTTTTGGACAATATTTACGTTTTCACAACTTAATCCAGGCTAAAATGTAGTCAATTTGATAATTACCATCTGAGAAAATCAAATCAAAATATAAATGGTACGGGTAGATAATCTCCTGGATTAACAAGAGGTGCCGGTGGTTTGTTTATAATAATAATGTGAATATTTATAACGTGCTTCATTCACTCCACTAACGCTCTAAGCGTGATACAATTACTACCCCGGTCTCCAGGATACAAGTAAAGTTGGATTTACCTCCCTTTTCAGAGAGATGGGGCTTAACATCCACTCACATGCTCATTGGAGCCTTTAACAGTGGGAGGAAACCACTGTTAGGATGAAGAATGATTCTAATTTTCAATTAGTTATAACTTTAAAGTTTGTAAATACTGGAATTGAACCGACCTGGACTGATATTTCTTTTAAGAGATTCAACATTCATAATATTCTATAATGACAATCAGTGACTTTTCAGGTTACAATTTCATATTTTCTAAGAAAGTCAAAACATAATTATTTCTATGTCTTTTGCTCAATAGGTTGTCAACTCACTATTATACAATCATAGGTTATCTTTTTCACACTTAAAAATCTTCACACCGGAAATAATAACACAATTACCCCCCAAATTACCTCCCTTGTTTTCTTATTCCCCACCATGGAATAGCTATCTTCAAACATTTGAATTTGAAGTTGAAAATGATACTTTTGCCAATTTCTCAACTGACAATAGTGAATTATAGGATTAATAGGATTATTTTTCAACAAGGTAGGACTGTTTATAGACACCATCTATTTTAGAGCTTTATTTTAATACATTTTAAAAATATAACTTCAAAAATATGAAATTGTAACTTTAATCTGAGATATTTCTAATTACCGGTAATAAAAGTAGAATAAAAGGTTGGTACATTGTACAATGTATGTGTATGAAGTGGGTAGCCTGGTGTTCTCACACAGGAAAGACCTCTGTGTGTGCGCTAAGCATAAAAAAAATACAACTTGTCTGCAATATCACTCTTGGTGGAAGCAATCGTTAAATTCTAATAGAATGGTGGTCTAGCCCCTTTTACTCACCACGATAACGAAGAACTATACAAAAATGATATTATACCTTTTCTACTTTTACTTCATCATCATATGATGTTTCGTCATCTGTGGAAGCATCCTCATTGTATTGGTCATCTGTGATCCTACCACTATTATTTACTTCAACTCTCTTTACTACACTAGGATAAACATCAACACCCTTTATTCTATCACAGTCACCAGTAGACGTCCTGTCACGTAATGATTCCTTAACATTCTCTTCTGTCTTTGTGTTCACACCATTCAAAATATCGACTCTACTTTTGTTTTCTGGAGATATTAATTCCGAATCGTCATTATTAACACACTTTTCATCTCTGTCTGTTTTTGTAGTCACTGGATTTTTTAAGATACTTTCGTCATCCGAATCGGAATAAAAATCACTGAGATATTGTGATTTGTCAGCGCTATCTGGTTTATTTATGTTATTTTGATAATCTAGCAACTCGAGGCGTTCGATAACATCTCGTACCTGACCAATACTATCGATTGCTCCATCTGCTGACTTACATGCTCTGTTGTCATGGTTACTCTTTGAATCTTTGGATACTCGAGATAAGAGCTCTGTCACTTGTTCTTGTATCCGTTTCAGTTTTTGTGTTAATGCCATTTTGATATTAACATCATTTACCGATTAATAACATCAACATACATGTAATACCAGTAGGCCTACACTGAATTTAATCTGCAACAGAACAAATATGACATAATATTATTTTAGTTGAAATTTGAAGGGTGTAAGGCTCTAACTCAATATTATCCACAGAGAGAGAGAGAGGGAGAGGGGGGGGGGGGAGAGAGGGTTGGATACATGCCAATATCCAAAGGAACCAATTGGCAAGATTATGATACAATGTATTTGGGAAATAACCTATTATTATTTCATTGTTCAAGTTTACTGAACATCGGATGAAATTGTAACCTGTGGTCGCAGAGTGTTCACAAACAAATTGTGGACGGACTACAAACTGTTGCGCTACAATTTACGTCCACATGAAAATGTGGGCGTATAAAAAGTTATTATATAATTATGATTATGCGAAGTAAATAGTCTATAGATAATTTTTAAAAAAATATGATTATTGACAACCGCAACTAAATAGCTAAACATGATTTTTTAACAGAACGCAGGAATATCACACATAACACGTCCTCTATTTTCTAGTAAATTAAATCATTTAAAGGAGCTAAATCGCTAACATTTGGGACCTAGAAATTGACACAAGTGGGTCGCAACTCATATAATAATGTAGTATGAATGTATATAAACTGATATACATTCAATGGTTTCCGTTTTTACTCCAATTTCAAATCAGTTATGTTCGGCGAAATAAGCCAGCAGTCTCAAGCGAGTGCAAATTTCTAGCGTCTGGTTATTCCAGTCTACATACGCCGTTTGATTTGGTGCAATGTGTGTAGCCTCGTCCTTCGAGTCTCTTGATACAACTGGGGACGAAGCGCATTATGGTACACGATTCGTGTACCAATGGTAAAATTGTTATTTTGTCTTAAATATTGGATATCAAAAGCCCATCTTTTTCCGGTAAGATCACAACATGAATGTTGATTTAATTTGACAAATAAATCGTGTTTTCAATGTTGAAGATTTTGGATGATATTGAGTTAGAGACTTAGCTACTTTAAATTATTACAAAATGGTGAAATAGTATCAATATATTTTTGTTACCCGCCAAGCGTTGAAGTTGGAAGAAACTATCTTCGATGTTAGAGTTTTCCAGGGGAAGGAACTCGAATACAAAATTCAAATCTAGTTTCGATTCAACGATAAAGGGGCTACTTTAAGACTTTCATTAAATGGATTTAATTGATAAAACCATAAGTGCCTTTTTGCAAAGATTAAACTAACAGAAACGTGTAAAATATAACTAAATGTTCGTTGATAATAATCGATGTTTTAGCATTGCAAGGGGGGTTACTCCATATTCACCTAAAATGGAGTTGCTCCACTTAAATTATATAATAGACCGAACCAGTAAATTATGGTGTCTGCTAATTACTCAACACTGCTTGGGAACAGACCCGTAGCCAGCTTTCTGGCTGCGGAGGGGCAGTGAAGTTTTTAGGGGTGGGGGGCACCCGGCACAGTCTACAGTAGGTATTTTAGAGCTAAGGTCGGCAAAACATTTTTTCAGTGGGGCATTGCCCCCCCCCCCCTAAATTGCCTCTAGCTGGCTACGGGCCTGTTTGGGAAAGTAAACAGTTATAAACCCCATACTTGTTATCCAAACCAGATGGACCATTACTGTAGAAACCTAATAGTTCTTGATGATTCTCAATGAATTTAAACAATTTGCCAACAATGGTTGATTTGAAACTGAACATTTAATACAGAAACGTGTGTTAAAACATGCTTCCCGAGTTGTACGTTTGTAGTATATTCACCTACCTACATGTTTGCACAGTACAACCAGTGATTTCCATGCAAGATACGCCCACATTTTGCCAGACATGGGCAGAGAACAAGCTAAAAAAAATGTGATTTTTTGTACAATCCAGGAAATAACAGGAACTGGGATCTTTTGGATATAAACATATATTATTTTAAATTTCATCAAGATCGGATAAAAATTGTAACTTATATTCTGGAGGGTCCACACCCATATTATTTGCAACCATTTTGTCGGACACTTTCGGTCTGATTTTCACGAAATTTGAACTCAACATTATTAGGGTGTAATGTTTAAACCTCTTTGTTTTAAATCGGATAAAAATTGTGACATCTAGAAGGTACACAAGATTTTTCATACAATCAATGGCCATAATCCACGAAGTTACAGTCCGATAAAGGCCATGGTACAATATCGAAAGGAACCAAGATCTTAGGGATATAAACATGTATTTCAAGTTTCATCAAAATCAGAAGAGAGCATCGCTACCACTGCAACATACGTCCACATTCCTGCTTTGATTGATATATGGTACTTTTTAAAATGAAGAGAATGAAATATAAAAAAGTTGCAACCACTGTAATATGACAAGAGGCAATGAAAGGCTAGGCGTTGGGTTTGTTTTGCCAAATTTACAGACTAAATATTAACAAAAAAGTGGGTGTGACACCACCCCTGGGGGTTGGACCACGAACGAAAATAAATAGTTGCTGTCCTTACAGTATAAGGAATAAATATGCCAAGTTCCAAGATAATCCATTCAGAATTGGCCTGGCTTTGCACCTGGGGGATGGACATGGACTAATATAAATAGGTACAACCCTATGATGGATTATGCCGAAATGGAACAAAATATTGCAACCTTTGGAGTATTTACAGACAAAATATTAACAAAAAAAAAGTAGGTGTGGCACTGCCCAAGGTGGCCGGATCATGTACCAAAATCAATAGCTGCCGTCGTTTGGCTATAAGGAATACATATGCCAGGTTTCAAGATGATCCATTAAGAATAAAATGGGTGTGGCTCTGGCCAAGGGGTGGGGTGGTGGGGCATGCACCAAAACAATAGGGGTCATCCAAAGGGTATAAGGAATAAGTATGCATAGTTTCAAGACAAACCATTAAGAATTGCGCCCTGAATGCGACCCACAGGGTCTTCGGTACAATACGTCCACATTCATAATGTGGACCTATAAAAATGAAAAGGATCTAGCCAGTCGTCATTTTCCTTGTAATGATGACGTCATATCAGCTATAAATGTCTTTTTTTCGAGTGGCTAAAGAAAATTTCTTTCTGACCGACATCTAGGCCTTAAAGGGGACTACATAGAAAAATAAATGGAGACCGTCGACTTTGTACAGATCTTTCACAGAGACAGGTTTAGAACTTTTCAGCCAGGCGCTCGAAGAGGAAATTTCAATAGAACATGGGTTAGACCCAAAACAAATTTGCAACAGAATTAATTTCATTGGGATGCATTTCAGTATAGTCCCCTAAACAACATCCCAAAAATGTTCCAAAATATTTTTTGGTGGAAATGGGTCAAATTGCGTAATATGCTAATTAGCATAATTTCATATTTTAAAAAATGACGTAATGCTATAACTTGGCTATTAAATGTTCAAATTTGGTGGAAATTGTGTCTAAACTCATGTTTTCGTGGCCTGGTAAGCAAATAAACACATTTAGAATATAATCACTTTATTACATAATGCACAATATGCAAATTAACAGCCGCCATTAGTGAAAAACTTATATTTCCCCCTAAATCTGAAACTCTTTGACTTAGCACCATAAAACCAGTATCTACGGTATAATTTCAGGGTCAAAGGTGCCAAAAAACACTAGGAGAACAGCACATACAGTGGTATTGCGTAATATAGAATATGCAAATTAGACGCCTCGGCCATGACTGAAAAATACACTTTTAGTCCAAACTCAAAGCATTTGCAATAACCTGAAAAATCAAGTTCCCACACCCATTTTATTACTTTCAAAGAAAGTAATAAAAGTATCTGTACCTCATTATGGAGAATATTTGACTGATTGCATTAGTACCAGAGCACTGTTGTCATGGGGGGGGGGGGGTTGGTCACATAGCCCTGATGAAAACAAACAAATTATCAAAACTTTATCATCAAAACTGGTTTCGGAGGTCCTACAGCTATGTCCTTTAAAGTCTCCACAAGTTTAACAGTTACACCTGAACAGTCACAGGAACTCTTTAGGTATTAAGAAACCCTTGACGTTTATCATCACCATTATATGTAATCATTATAAAAACATAACTGTTAATCTTATTGCCAGTGGTTTTATTTGTTTTAATATAGTTTATTAATTGATGAATGCACACTATAATGTATCTGTACATTAATCATTATCAAAACATTATAACATAGCTGTTAATTTTATTTCAAAGTTAATTACATAAATAACCACAACTGAAAATTGAGCACAATGTTTATAATAAAATGAACAGTAAATTTGCACGAGTCCTTGCTAATGGTGCTGTTGTCTTGGAATGCGAGAAACGCAGACATGGTAAATGCAAAACCACAGTAAAGATCCAGAGAGAAGAGGTCAGCCAGTCCGGAAAAGTGAACAAACTCATGCTGGTGACCCAGTACGTGAAATGATTTTTGGGGGTAAAAAATATCATAAAGAGACAATCCAATGGAACCAATTGTCACTGCTGCAGTTTCAACATTACCAGAAGGAACCATTTCCCGTCTTCCACCTATTAGAAACCTCAAACGTACTATAAGATGTTTCAAGACTACTACCAGGAAAGCTGGTACCTCTACCACCAACTCAACAGGCCATGAAAATACAAGACCAATACAAAGAAAATTTTAATGGGGAACATTTCCTTTTGTCTGGCAGTGGTACAAACAATCCAGGTGGAATTTTACTATATTCAACAGTAACCAACCTGAAGGTCCCGACCTCAACCGATCATCGGTTGGCTGATAAAACCGCTAAAGTTGCGCGTGAAATATTTTACCAGATTTACACCATACATGCTCCTATCGACAACCACACAGTTCCACGTGTTGGTGCTCTACTTAAAAACAAGACTGGGGATACCAATTTGCGGGTGTATTCCCAGTTGCTAGTATTAAAGTCAGATTTTCGTCTGTTGTCTACCATTAACGATTTTGAGATTACTAAAAAAAGGTCTATCCAGAGAGTTTTTCATGAAACTGAGATATACCGTAAATTGCAGACGTAGGGACCTCATCAACGTTACCAAACAGACAATGAATCCAATCTTGACTTCAGAATGATACCAACCAGTGGCGGATTAAGCTCCACCAAGGCCTGAGGCGGCAGTTGCTGGAGGGCCTATTTAGTTTTTAAAGTTAGAGCCAAGGTAGTTTGCTAACATTAAAAACGTAATGTAACTTTATATGCCCATAAATGACGTCACGTGGATACAATATATTAAGCAAGACATAATCGAAAACTTACAAGGATTTAACGTACATTGTAGGCCTACGTTTAAAAAATAAGATCAGATCTCCAAACAATAGGGCCTATTTAAAATGGCGTGGGCCTAATTAATTTCGGGTCAGGGCCTATGTTGATTCCAGTTGGGCCTACCCCCCCCCCCTAAATTGTCTTTGCGTTTTTAGTCGTATCAGAAAAGTCTAAAAAAAATTTTTTTACAAAATCTTTGGGCCTGAGGCTGCAGCCTCACTGATAATCCGCTACTGATACCAGCCCTTACTCTTTGAAACACTAACTGAACACATGGAAGAGAATGGCGCAAATGCAATCATCAACTACTTAAAGGATACCGACATTTTGAGACCTGATAGTCGTAACCATAGGAATATGTATGCAATTGAACTATGGTCCAGCTTCCAAGAACGAACAACAATATAGAAGGGTGGCACAGATGATTTCAGACTCCAGTTAGTTGTTGCCATGTCAACATATGGAAGTTTCTAGATGCCCTGAAGAAACACCAAGCTCTACAAGAAGTTACTATGGAGCTGATAATAACTAGAGAACAGCCTGATCAACACACGAAGTATAGAGACCAAACAGAGCGTGTACTGGACATTATAAGTTCAACATTCACCATGTGTTGGACTTTTTACGTGGTATTGCTCATAATATTCACTTGTGATAACTTCGGATCCGTCACTGAGTGAGTGTTATTATAGACATGTGAAGTAAAACGAACCATTATAATTATATATTAATGATTAGTGATGTCTGATAAAAAATAAAGAGCATTTAAGTATTAAATATTCGTTATTTCTACCAAAATGAACATGTAGAAAAAAATATATATATTGTTGCATTGATCATCAAAACATGAATTTTTATCATTTGTCTCATTCAGACCCTCTTTTGTGTAGCTATTTGGAGAAGAAAAAAAATGCTTTCTGGGATTTTGGAGATAGTTGACATTATGTAACTCTACCTGTTTACCCTAATTTAAACTAAATGTATAACAATAAACTTTTAGTAATACACTGAGGATACTCTCTTGCAGTAAAATATTGGTCTTGTACTCAACAAAATTCATTTGGGGTGGGGTGTCTAAAGACCATAATTTCTGTAACGCAAACCTTAAATGAACTATAATAGTTTTCACTGGATTCCTAATCCCCATAAAAATCGGTAATGATACAATTGTAAACAAATTAGTGCACTGATTGAAGTTATTGAGTAAAGCATGCTTTTCAAATAAGTCATACTTATTGCAAATGTTTTTTGAGATTGGACTAAAAATGTGTTTTTCAGTCATGGCCCAGGTGTATAATTTGCATATTCTATATTATGCAATTAACTGTGCTGTTCTTCTAGTGCTTTTCAGCACCCTTGATCCTGTACTTATGGGCATATGTACTGGTTTCATGGAGCTAATTAATTTAAAAAGTTTCAGATTTAGGGGGAAAAATAAGTTTTTCACTAATGGCGGATGTTAATTTGCATATTATGCATCAGGTAATTATGTGATTATATTCTAAATGTGTTTATTTGTGTTCCTGGCCATGTAAACATGGGTTTGGATACAATTTCCACCAAATTTGAACATTTGATAGCCAAATTATAGCATTAAATCATTTCTGAAATATGAAATTACGCTAATTAGCATATTATGCAATTTGACCCATTTCCACCAAAAATATTTTGGAACATTTTTAGTATGATGTGCAGGAGACCTTACTGAAAAGCATACCACCAAAAGAAATTCTGTTGCAATTTGTTTTGGATTGGGCCCTTTTTTCAGCTAGATTGACTGGACTATATCTTTGTAAATATTGAAACAAATTTAACCATTTTTAGACTGCTATTCACTGTATTAGTTTTTAAAGGTAATTCCTAATTCCTCAGATTTCATAGATATTGTAGTAGTTTTTAAGTGAATCCCCAATCCCTCAGATTTGATAGACAATGTAGTAGTTTTTAAGGGAATCCCCAATCCCTCAGATTTGATAGACATTGTAGTAGTTTTTAAGGGAATCCCTAATCCCCCAGATTTGAGAGACTTTAAAGTAAATAAAAAGAATAGGATTTAATTTATGAATAATATTAATTTATTGTCATATTATATCATTCTAAAACAATCAAAATTCTACATGGATATATAATCAGCAGCACTTAATATTTATACACTAGACATAAGCAATAGTCCGGGGTTTATTGTCTATATACCATGGTATTATATATATAAACAACAGGGTTTATTGTCTATATACCATGGTATTATAAATAAACAACAGGGTTTATTGTCTATATACCATGGTATTATATATAAATAATTATAAATATATAAATAATCAGGGTTGTTTCAGTATATCATGTATTATACAGCAATTGTCTATAGCATATCGGGGTTGTTTCAGTAAGCTTATATCATGAATTAGATTGTAGTTATAAAGGTTTTATGGTATTATATATTACAGCATTACAAATTATCACAAAAAACTTCAAAGCACCACCACCCTTTCAAATCTGTATTAATTAATCATAGCTTTTGGGCACTTTATTAAAATATCTAGGGTGGGGTGGGGTAGGGCTTGTCTACGATATCACCATAATATTAAGCAGGAGTGGGTATTAACAGTTACATAAAGGTTACATATTAAAAACAAGTGATATCACAGCTGGTCAAAATATATAGAATTCTATTTACAAATTATATCTCTTATATATATATACAAACAAAAAAAACCCTGCAACTTGAAAAAAAACAACATATTTTTTGATTGAATGTTTTAAAAGTAATAATGCTGATAACCTAATTCTTTCAACAAAATAATCTAATACTTTTATATAATGCTAGTGTAAAATTATATCGAATTAAAAATTGGACGGATCTTTATTCAATAGGACTGAGCTGTTATATCTAATACTTTTATATAATGCTAGTTTCAAATTGGATGGATAATCTCGATTCATTAGAGATAGAGAGAGAGAGAGATGGGGTTTAATGTCCACTCGACACAAACTTGGTCTTTTCGGGACTAACACATGGTTCAATTTTATTCCAATAATTCGCTTGCAGTGGGAGGAAACCAGAGGAAACAGAGAAAACCCACAGGCGATCCTAAAACCTGGGAATCGAAACCACGCCAGACTTTATGATACAACGTGCATGTCTCTATTCAATAGGACAGAAGCTGGGAATATGAATTCTCTCAACAAAATAATCTAATACTTTTATAATATAATGCTCGGATCTTTAGTCAATTGGACGGAAGCTATTATATGACCATGGTAATATTCATTAATTCTTTAAACACTATAATGGTTGGACGGTTTGAGATCTGATTGCAGTTAGAACATGAACGTATAATTTGATTGGAATGTTTGAATAAAAATAACTTAAGTTGGAAATTTGGAAAATAAATAACTGATATAAATTAATAATCCATATTACAGGGTGACGATGATGAATGTTCATGAATTTAAATGACTTAATTATCCAGTTGACACAACAGGGCCATACCGCGACCAACCCAATGTTCTTGTGGTTTGTCAGACGGAATCATCATCCCGATGACGAAATTTGTTGAGTGACCTGTTGTCGACAATGTTCCTCTTCTTTCGCTAGTTTTGTAAACTGGACATCGATAGGCTGATGTTTCCTTTAAGTCAGACCTTTTGATTGGTTTAATCCACATCTGTTGAAAGAGAAAACAGGATTACAAATTATTGCTAAAAACCATCGTTTTAACATGCATCCAGTTCAGAGAGCACTAGACCGGTAGATGTGGGGCACGTAACTTACATAAAATATGTGAGAGCACAATTTGTGGAGCGCGTAACCTCAATAATATATGAGACTGCTAGATGTGGGGCATGTAACTAAATATGAGAGTGCTAGATGTGGGGCATGTAACTTACATAAAATATGAGACCGGTAGATGTGGGGCATGTAACCTTTATCAAAAGTATGAGAGCACTCACTACATGTAGGGCATGTAACTTCCATAAAATATGAGAGTACAAGATATGGGGTATGTAACTTCCATAAAATATATTAGAGCCCCTAAATTGGGGTATGTAGGTCCCATAAAATATATGAAAGTACAAGATGTGGGGCATGTGACTACCCAAAAAATAAGTTAAATTTATGATGAATAACTCACCACTGGCATTGTGTCAAAGAGAACTTTGGGAAGGGATTCATTAAGTTTTTTGGTTTTTCTATCCCAGCGTGCAGCTTCCAAAAATAATCCATAAATATAAACACCTGAAATCAATAAAACTCGTTAAAACAGGTATTTAATCAAATATATTAATAAAATGGGCATTTAATCATTATGGACTTTATGATCAATATTAATGTTTATTCTCAGATTATCAGATATAGGCCTAACTATTCTCAGATTATCAGATATATAGGCCTACTAACTATTCTCAGATTATCAGATATAGGCCTACTAACTATTCTCAGATTATCAGATATAGACCTACTAACTATTCTCAGATTATCAGATATAGGCCTAACTATTCTCAGATTATCAGATATATAGGCCTACTAACTATTCTCAGATTATCAGATATAGGCGTACCAACTATTCTCAGATTATCAGATATAGGCCTACTAACTATTCTCAGATATAGGCCTACTAACTATTCTCAGATTATCAGATATAGGCCTACTAACTATTCTCAGATTATCAGATATATAGGCCTACTAACTAACAATGTCATATTTTATCAATTATACATCAAATACATGTCCACGTTTCAATATATAAAACACCCAACTAAGATTGTATCCCTGGCAAAGTTTCTTCACTAGTTTCAATTGCTGATTAGTTTAAATATCGGAAATGGAAATTAATATTATACATCAGACTGTGCATCAGAAATAAATATCATGTCACATATAATTATCATATGTCAATATATCAAACTTACCATCTTCGGGTGGTTCGGTATATTCTTTATCTTCTAGTACCTCGTAATCAAATCCGAGTAAATCAATAGGGATCGTGTATTTCCGGGCGTAATTCTGTTGCGCTCCGGTCAAGAAAGCTTGTGTGAAGAAAAATCCTGATAACCAGAAAGTTGGTGGCGGACCGTTATCATACCAATCCTGAAAAAAAAAAATATAATATTAACAAATAAGTTATGTATCAGGACTATTAAACAACTTTGGCTGACATTCTGACTATTATAACATTGACTGACATTCTGACTATTATAACATTGACTGACATTCTGACTATTATAACATTGACTGACATTCTGACTATTATAACATAGGCTGACATTCTGACTATTATAACACATTGATGGTAATATTTTTACAAACCATATTTGACAGCATCATCCAAAAGCTGTTAAACCTTAACAAGAGTATGTTTTCATAGATAGATGTTACAAAAAAAAACCTAAACTGTTTCATGTTTCTTCTATGTATTTATTATCAATTAATATTACTTGACTTACCTGTAAGAATTTTAAACGTGCCAAGAAATCTGTAACGTAACTACCAAGAGGTTTTAACGAAGGGTACGATCGTTTCATCCACATAGCGGGGATTTTACCCTTCAAGATGCTTAATACTACTTCTTCTAACTCTGCAGACATAACAACCAGACCCTAAAAATATACCGGTTGAGAGATTAACGGGAGATAGAAATAGGATTTAATATCCACTCCACACATAACAACCAGACCCTAAAAATATACCGGTTGACAGATTAAAGGGAGAGAGAAATAGGGTTTAACATCCACTCCACACAAACTAGTCGTTTCAGGACTAACATATAATTCAATTTTATTTCAATATCGTGCTTGTGCTTAGTGGTCTTTGGCAGTGGGAATAAACCAGAGGGCCTGGAAAAAATTCTTTCGTAAGTATGAATAGGCAACCCTATTCCTTGTCATGTACAAGCGGGGAATTGAAACCATATCAGTTGACTCAGTGATAGACCTTATGATACAACGTGCATGCATTAATCATTCGCGCCCCCCCCCCCCTTCCCATCAAAAGATATTAGAGAAGATTATATGGCGCTGTTGGGAAATCACAATCAATTGATGATAAAATGGACTTACTTTAATAGCTTTACGGATATTAGCAAGACTGGAACGGACTATTTCCAGCAGACGATTAAATCTGGTCATTTCTTGTACTAACACCGTATTCATACTCTGTTTATATGACGTTGGGTATTTCCTCAACGCTGCCTCATTATCAAAATTAGGCGGCAGTTTACTAAGGATGTCTGCTGCGACTTCATCAACTACGTCATCTGTTGATTTACCACCTTCAGCAGATGCTTTAGCCTAAAAAAAAAAAAAGAGTTAATTTTAAAACATTAATATTTCACTCTCCAGAAAGTAAAATTTCAATATAGTAGAATCGATTCATTTTTATATAACAATTCCTTTGAAATGGTGAATTAACTCTAAATGTTAACAATTCCTTTTAAATGGTGAATTAATTCTAAATGTTAACGATTACTTTTAAATGGTGAATTAATTCTAAATGTTAACAATTCCTTTGAAATGGTGAATTAACTCTAAATGTTAACAATTCCTTTGAAATGGTGAATTAACTCTAAATGTTAACGATTCCTTTTAAATGGTGAATTAATTCTAAATGTTAACGATTCCTTTTAAATGGTGAATTAACTCTAAATGTTAACAATTCCTTTAAAAAAGTAAATGTAGTCATTTTGTTCCTCTACTCTATCTCTTACAATTGTTCTTTGCACTTTTCAGACAAAATCTAATCTTTTCTCTCAGCTCCCGTTTTCATTATCCCATTCGGAGCAGAAAAGTATTCCTCTCAGCCTATTAAATGGTTGCATTCTTAAAATAAGGTATCTGACACCATGGATAGATTTCTAAGATGAAGAACTGTTAATAACAAGAACTGGGAGCCACTGTGACTCAGTGAGTAGGACGTTGGCTTTCTAAACGGGAAAGTTCACCAGGCATGATTTCCCCTTGTCAGTGGTACAGGACAGAAGGCCTGACAAGGAAAAACGTATGGTTGATAGGATTGGACAAAAAATCAAAGTCCTGTGTACACATTGGTGTGCACGTAAAAGAATCCTTGACAGTTGGAATTCGATATAAGAGTAGGCCTTAGTGCCGCTGTCTGGGCAAAATCTCCCTCATAGCACACTGTATGGTGTATGTCCGTCTTCATTAGCCCAGTTCATAGCAGAACAGTAGAACTTAGAGCCCATTTCATTTCATTTCATTTCAATAACAAGAACTGTGTAATATTTGACTATGTGTCTATTCTAATTGTTCAAACTCTATAGCTACAAAGGTGTTAAACTACCAAAAGGCACAAAGCATTTTTAAACGAGCTTCTACGGTAATGAAAGAAAATATAAGCAGTGTAATATTGGCAAAGATAAACAGAGAAGAATAAAATAGGAGAATACTTTTAGAGAATAAAAAGCTACAAGTTAATAAACAAAACATGAGACAACTCAATAAACACAAAAACATAATATGGAACATATTTTAATTAAAGTAACGATTCATTGAGGGTTCTCAGAAAGTCGCTTTAATAGTAATAATTGTGTTCCATATTATCTTGTTTTTTATTACATGTGTCAATTGCTAAATCCCACTCAAAGACGACAAGACAACCTGTTGATATAGCACCCCACTAACAAAAAAACACATTCATCGAACTAATAAAAAAAAAAGATATTTATATTTCAATGTCATTCTAAAATTCTAAAATACTACTATCTAAATTCTTTTTCTGTAACAACCACATTTCCATCCTGTAAAAAGAACTAGTGACCTGTGAAATATTTCATATTTATATTCAAGGAATACTAAAACTACGAGAGAGCATTTTCTGTCTAAGTGACTGATCTGTGATTAAAAGTCTTTATTTTTTTAAAAAACAAACTATTTATACCGTATATCTTTCTTCTTCCTTTTTGTATTAAATTTGTGTAAAAATAGACATAAAAATGGTGAAATTATCATCCTATGATCATGATATGTCAATCCCAGCTTAAATATTAGGCTACTTCCCTTTTGTTCATCCTAACAAAATTTGGCTTCCTAGCTTAATATTCCCTCTCTTGTCCATCCTAGCTAAATATTCCCTCCCTTGATCATCCTAGCTAAATATTCCCTCCCTTGTCCATCCTAGCTAAATATTCCCTCCTTTGTCCATCCCAGCTAAATATTCCCTCCTTTGTCCGTCCTAGCTAAACATTCCTTCCCTTGTTTGTCCTAGCTAAATATCTCCCCACCCCTTGTCCATCCTAGTCCCATTCATATAAAAGATGTGAAAGGGAGGACATATTTAAGCAGCTGTGTAATGACGTACACACATGGTATTTATGGATTGACTACTGAAGGCAGATATAAAATTCATTCCATTCCAGGGTTTTGTTTGAACAATGATAAAAACACAAACGGTTATGTAAAGAGAGACTTAACATATATTTAACATATATATATGTGCAAAGGTATAGTTTCACTTGTGTGTGAAGGGGAGCATCCATGTATATATGGTGGAAACGGAGGTTGGGGGACGGGAGGAGAGGTCTCTGTAAATTATGCACATTTAGCGGTGATGTTTTCGGTTATTATTACATTGTGATCATCGTGTACACACTGAACAACACCCTGCTGCTACCTGCTGTCGACGATGTAATGCCATTTCCGAGAAATATCCCTGCTTTATGTGTAGATACGTTATATACAGCTATAGAAATAGCAATAAAATTACATTTAGTCAAATTAATCAATAAAGTTATATTTATAGCACAGCTTTCATGAGTTAACAGGTTTATCCAGAGGCCGTAGACCGAGGTGTTAAATCTGTTAACAAATGAAGCGGGCTACTATAAATGACTTGTAACACTGACACCTGCTCATCATGCTTGTTGTTATCCCACTTCTATATGTGATTTCTACTAAAACTGGCAAAAGTGTGCAATAGCATTGAACCTTTCTAGTTATTGCACAGTTAAGCTCCACCCAATCTACTTGAGGGAAAACAATCAACTTATTCAACGAAAAGAACAAAGGAAGATTCCGCATCCATGTCACAAAAAATTATACTTAAAGGATCTATTACGCTAATATTTGGGACCCAGAAATTGACACAATTGGATCACAATGCATATAATAATGTAATATGAATGTATATAAATTGATTTACATTCAATCGTTTCTGTTTTTACTCTAATTTCAAATCAGTTATGTTTGGTGAAATAAGCCAGAAGTCTCAATCAAATGGCATCTCTAGCATCTGGTTATTCCAGTCTACACCAACAGTATTTATTGTGCATGCTCTCTAGATAGGAACATAGTGTCACCGTTTGACATGACTTGTGGAATATGTGTAACCTCGTTCTTCGAGTCCCTTGTTACAAAGGGCGCTGGAACGCATTATGGTACACGATTTGTGTACCAATGGTAAAATGTTTATTTTGTCTTAAATATTTGATATCAGAAGCCCATCTTTTCCAGGTAAGATCACAACATCAATGTTGATTTAAATTGACAAATAATTCATGTTTTCAATGTCGAAGATTTTGGATGATATTGAGTTAAAGATTTAGCTACTTTAAAGCCAATTACTAAGGAAATTAATTGATAAATGTTTGTTCCTTTAAAGACTAGTACTAAGCAAATGTTGTAAACAGGACAACAGAAGAGCTACTTGTTTTATAAACAGACAAAATAAAACTATGTAAAAAAAAATAGAAAGAGCGCAATCCAGTCAGGAGGCCATAAATCCGTTTTTACTCAACGTGTATAACTCATATTCAAAACTTGACCTAAACTTACAGTATAACAAGATTCTACAAATCTTATGTTCGACAGATTGACTGTAGAAGAACCACCAATCGTCTGACATAGGTCCACCGAGAATTGATCATGCAGAATGTAGAATCCGGTTGTATTGTTTGCCGCAACAGAAATTCAACATGAAATGTGTTGATTTTAAAATTTGAGAAAAACTATGTTTTATGGACCTGGATCTGGAGGATAAAGGTTATGTATTATGTTAAGCAAGGATAATAATTCACAATAGCCAATAGAAACAGTCAAGAATTTGTTAATAATCTGGAAGAAAAAGGGGAAATATATACGCAGATACGATTGTCTTACCCTTTTCTGTTACAAGAATAAAAAAAAACAATAATTATTATCATAAAAAAAACATACATTTAATTTCTTAAATAAGGTATCAATACTAGGACAAAATTCTTAAAAGTTAACCCAAAGCAAGAAAACAATAACTATTATTATAAAAAAAAAACAAACAAAAAAAAACATATACAGAACATTTAAATTTGGGAAATTTTAGGACAAAATTCTTAAAAGTTACTTCAAAGCAAAAATTAGATGAATATTTGAGTACAATCTCCAGATTCTTCTGTCCTGACACAGAGAACCTTTAGACTACTTGGTACCAGATTATTCTGTCCTGACACAGAGAACATGAGCAACTTGAGATAAAGTTTCCCTGTATGTATAAATATTTGTCTATCAGGTACGGACATTATTTGTGTTTGTGTTCAGACCATGTAAACTAGTATATTATTTAAAACTCAATTGCTAAATCTGTCTCAATGAAACAAACTTTCTTGAACAATTAATCATTTAACAAAACCAATATATTAACAGAAATGAGGTTTCCCAATGAATAGAAACTTAAGATACGATTGTCTTACCCTTTTCTGTTACAAGAATAAAAAAAAACAATAATTATTATCATAAAAAAACCATACATTTAATTTCTTAAATAAGGTATCAATACTAGGACAAAATTCTTAAAAGTTAACCCAAAGCAAGAAAACAATAACTATTATTATAAAAAAAAAACAAACAAAAAAAAACATATACAGAACATTTAAATTTGGGAAATTTTAGGACAAAATTCTTAAAAGTTACTTCAAAGCAAAAATTAGATGAATATTTGAGTACAATCTCCAGATTCTTCTGTCCTGACACAGAGAACCTTTAGACTACTTGGTACCAGATTATTCTGTCCTGACACAGAGAACATGAGCAACTTGAGATAAAGTTTCCCTGTATGTATAAATATTTGTCTATCAGGTACGGACATTATTTGTGTTTGTGTTCAGACCATGTAAACTAGTATATTATTTAAAACTCAATTGCTAAATCTGTCTCAATGAAACAAACTTTCTTGAACAATTAATCATTTAACAAAACCAAAATATTAACAGAAATGAGGTTTCCCTATGAATAGAAACTTAAATAATTTGTGATTGGGTCCACACCAAGAGTTCTAGCAAAATAACTCAATTGCTAAATCTGTCTCCAGGGTTACAGTTTTCTTGAACCCTTAATCGAGTAACAACTCAAATATCAACGGTAATGAAATGTCCCTAGTATTATATTTTAACTCAATTGCTAAATCTGTCTCCAGGATTATAATAATAATTCATCAACATCACCAAAATATGAACAGTAGAGATAATCTTTGGCCTAGATTCCATCGGATTAAAAAAGGAGGCCCATCAAAAGATTTTACCTAACGCTCAACCTTATTTCAAGAGTATATCAAAATCAACAGCATAACCAGACCTACTTTCTAACCTCCACCCTTTATCCAAATGTTTGCATTGGTAGGATTCCAATATTTAGACCAGGTCAAACATGCAGCCTGCTGGCCAAGGCTTCAAATGTGTTCCGGGGGAACAATTTTCAACAAACTGACATGTTGATAATTGTTAGAAACTAGTGGTGGGGTGGATATAATTGTTTTCTATACTGTATGTCATATATATCTAAGTTATATGTAATACAAGAAATAACTGTGTTCAATATTATATCTAAGTTATATGTAATACAAGAACAAACTGTGTTCAATATTATATGTTGGTTATATGTGATACAAGAGAAAACTGTGTTCAATATTAATGTTGGAAAACGGTAAATAAATCAATCAAATTGATTGATGTACAACTTTAGTTCATGTGGTCCCTGAATCACAATGAATTTGATACCCCTGATTTAGACTCTATTGAACCCCGATATCACCCTAGGTGGACGCAGACATTAAGCCCCATTGACTGACCGACCGACTTGAACCCCTTGACATTTGGTAGGACTACCAATATTTGCGTAATTAATAGACAATATTTATTGAGATTTGTTTTTTACTGTACCTGTGTGAGTAAGATATTATCAAACAGCTGATTCGTTTCTGCCTGATCTTTTTTAATATCAGCGTTGGCATGCATGCCAAATATCCCTGGTAACGGATTAATAGGCAAGCTGTGGGTATACTGGATATAGCTGTCATACTGAAAACAAGATGGGAGATAACGTTAAAATAACATAAAATTCACATCAGCTTGCTATCTTGGTATCACCAATCACATTATTTTAAGAGAAAAATGGTATTAAATGTCCACTCAACACAAACATGGTCTTTTTGGAAATGAAATTAAATGGGGTTTAACGTCCTACTGTTCTGCTCCAACTGGGCTAATGAAGGCGGGTATATGCCATACAGTGTGCTATGAGGGAAATTTTACCAGGACAGCGGCACTATACAGCCTACTCTTAAATCAAATTTCAGAAGGATGTTAAACCCCATTTTATTTCCGCATATGTTAAGTAACGTAAAATTCACATCAGCTTGCTATCGGTAAAAAGATTTGGCTCAATTTTATTTCAATGATTCAGACAAGTTGTGAATCATAATCACGCCAGTTAACTCAATGATTGACCTTAAGATCTTAAGCACATGTATCAGACTATTAGGCTACGGCCCAACACCCCTTGAAATTATTTACAAAAGAAAATGGTGAGTACTCACATCGCCATCTGGTGGAGCGTAATAAACTTTAGAATCATCAAAGTAGTAGTCATCTTTCTCGTTGATTTCTTTACAGTAAAATTTATTCAATATGGTTAACAAAGTTCGTCTATCCCAATCATCCGTTACTCTTCCTCCGTAATTACATTCTCCCGTCAAATATCTCAACGCATCGTACTGAACCGTCTGGAAATACAAAAAATGAAAATCTAGCACTGAATACAAGAATTAATGTAAATGAAAGAGAGGGTTTAACATCCACTCAACACAAACTAGGTCATTTCGGGACTAACATATGGTTCAATTTTATTTCAATGATTCGCTTGTGTGTAGGGGTCTTTAGCAGTGGGAGGAAACCGGAGGACACAGAGAAAACCCACGTGGTTGGACAGGCGACCCTACTCCTTGTCACGTACAACCTGGGAATCGAAACCACGGCACTTGATTCAATGACCGCCTCTGCCAAATGACGCTTCTAGTCCGTCAAAAGATGTCTCAAGACAGTGACTCTCTGCCGAATGCCGTCTCAGATATCACATGGCTCAATGTACATTAATATCAGATATCACATGGCTCAATTCACGTTCACTTTCAGCCAAATGACGACTGTTGATGGAGGTCGTCCGTCGATTGATGTCATTAAATTTAAAGACAAAGAGAAAAAGGGTTTGATTAAATACATTATATAAATATCAGAACTTACTTCGTATTGGTTTAAAAACATCGCTAACTGTTGTGTACTGATACGCAAGTCAGTTTCGTTAAACTCGTACGGTATATTCCATCCCAGTGGACCAAATTTACGTCGTTCCTGAACCAACGCATGGAAGAAACACAAGCCATACAACATCTTTTTAAATTCTCTCTGAAAAAAACAAAACAAAAATCAAAACAAGCCTCTTTAGAATAATACAACCAACTAAGTTGGCAGGCAACAAAAAGATTAGTCCACCTCCAAGCTAAGTCCTCCATGCAGTCATAAACTAAAACATGTCATTACAGACGATCAGATCAGAGACAACAAGATTTAGTGACAAAGGGGAATAACTTTGGAAGTTTTTATTGAAATTCGATGATAATAAATAAGGTTATTTGTTGTAATCTGTATTGTGCTTACATTAAGAAATGTGGATGGTCGGATGGACAGGTGTGACAGACAGGTGTGACGATAATATATATGAAAACATTTAAATATTGGTGTATAAAAACGATTGTGCCAGAGTGGCTTATTCTAATTTAATGACCTCTATTCCAGGCTTTTATATGGAGCTGTCTCTAACACTGACAGGTCATTTTCTAATAACATCATTGTTTGTGCAATGCAAGATGCAAGATTTCGCCAGGAGAGTAAAGTTGTAGACTCCTGTACTCATCTGCCCTGCAATATTTTGACTTCTTCTGTGGAACTTCAAAGCAAACCTAGCTAGACTATTATTACTCCTTTTTTTTTCTCTAGCGATCTTTAAAGTGCACTGGGAATTTGCGAACTGACAGACTGTATATAAGGAAGTCAGATCTCTCATTACATATTTCAGAAAACCAGAAACTTACTGCTTTCTTCACGCCAGTAAAGAATTCCATGTCAGAAATGGGATCGGACATGTAGGATTTGATGATGTTGAATCGTAGACCCTTTGGTGGTTCGTTGGTCATTTTAACACCATTTTGTAAAATGGATACTGGGAAGGTTGTTGACGGGTAACTGGTTAACCAGAGTCGGAAATCGGGATGAGTCGCCTCAGGATTAAACTCCTGAAATATAAAAACTCAGTGAAACATCAACACGTCGACACAAACTAATCATTTCGAGACTAACATATGGTTCAATTTTATCTCAATAATTGGCTTGCGTGTAGAGGATCTTTAGCAATGGGAGGAAACGGGAGGACCCGGGGAAAACCCACAAGGTTTGACATACTTCTTGTGACGTACAATCGGGGAATCAAAACCACGCCAGCTGACTCAATGACAGACCTTATGATACAACGCGCATGCGTTAATCATTTGGCCATCCAACCCTCCTAGCAATAAAGAGATATGTGCTTTAACTCATATCCGGATGATTCAATAATTTGCTTGTGTGTAGGGGTCTTTAGCAGTGGGAGGGGAATCCGGAGGACCTGGAGAAAATTACACACGGTTGAATAGGCGGCCCTACTCCTTGTCACAGGAATCGAAACATATGGCACTTGACTCAATGACAGAGCTTATGTTCCAAAGCACACACATCAAACCACACCATCACCCACCCTTAGAAAAGTAACATGCAAATTGAATATGTTGATCTATTTCTGAAATTCATACCTCACAAATCTTCTCTAATGTTGGCATCCAGGACGCAGCAAGATGACAGTTCTGTAACATTACCCATGTCCCTTCCTTCACCCCCTTCTCAATCATCTTTAGCGCAATAGGTCCTTGACCTTGACCTAATGATAGAGAATCGAACTTCGCTCCTCCAAAACCCTGAAACAAAAAGGGAAACTCTTATAATATAAAATAACGAATGTTGTTCAAACTTGACATCAAAGCACTTATTGGTCCTCTTTAAAAAAAATATCGAAAATTTCAATAAATAAACTTACTTGGTCATCAGCAAACTTTAATAAAGCAGCCATTGGATCAGCTCCAGGAGACAGGATGAACAATAACGGTGCCGTACAATTACTGTCCGAATACGATCCCGCTAAATCAAATGGTGGGGGCTCGATAAATTTCTTACCGATTTTCTCCGTAACGAATTCCTGAACAGCAGGAATTACCTGTTTAGAAGAAAGATAAAATTTAATATTTATTCAACAAATTTAAATGGAGGGAGCCACAGTGGTTCCGTGAGTAAGACGTTGGCTCGCTAACTTGGAGATCAATCCCTGAGTTGGCCGAGACAGTTCATTAGGACTTATGGGTGTCGTTTCCCTCCTTGTCAGTGGTGCAGGACAGGGCCTGGCAATAGAGAGAGAGATAAATGGGATTTATCGTCCACTTGACACAAACTAGGTCATTTCGGGACTGACATATGGTTTGTTTTTATTTCAATAATTCGCTTGCGCATAGGGGGCTTTAGCAGTGGGAGGAAACCGGAGGACCCGAAGAAAACCCATGAGGTTGGACAGGCGACCCTACTCCTTGTCACGTACAACCGGGGAATCGAAACCACGCCAGCTGACTCAATGACAGGCCTTATGATACAGCACGCACGTGCTAACCATTCGGCCATCTCCCCTCCCCCCCTCCACAGCAATAGACAATGTATAGTTGCTAGGATGGAACATAAACCAAGGTCCTGTGTACACATTGGTATGTACTTGGCAGTTGGAATTCAATATAAGAGTAGGCTGTAGTGCCACTGTCCGGGCACAATATAAGAGTAGGCTGTAGTGCCACTGTCCGGGCACAATATAAGAGTAGGCTGTAGTGCCACTGTCCGGGCACAATATAAGAGTAGGCTGTAGTGCCACTGTCCGGGCACAATATAAGAGTAGGCTGCAGTGCCGCTGTCCGGGCACAATATAAGAGTAGGCTGTAGTGCCACTGTCCGGGCACAATATAAGAGTAGGCTGCAGTGCCGCTGTCCGGGCACAATATAAGAGTAGGCTGCAGTGCCGCTGTCTGGGCACAATATTTCTCTCATAGCACACTGTATGGTTGTCTTGGGACAACTTGAATTGGGTATCATTTAATTGTGCTGTTTTAGCAGGAGTTTCTCTCTTCAACATTTAGTTTCAAACCATTGTTGACAAATTGTTCAAATTCGTTGAGAATGATAAAAAAAACCTATTGTGTTCCTACTGTCGCATGTCTAAATAGATAAAATATAGAAACTCGCAGTAAAACACGATACCCAAGTTATAGTAAAAGTCATTAGAGACAATGGCTTGTCGTGGTGACCCCTGTGAATATATTTATAGTTTAAAGTTACAATTTCATATTTTCTAAGAAAGTCAAAACATAATTATTTCTATGTCTTTTGCTCAATAGGTTGTCAACTCACGTTTGAATTTGAAGAGGAAAATGATATTTTTGCCAATTTCTCAACTGGCAATAATGAATTATAGGATTAATAGGATTATTCTTTAACAAGGTAGGACTGTTTTTAGATACCATCTATTTTAAGGCTTTATTTTAAAAATTTTTAAAAATATAACGTAAAAATATGAAATTGAAACTTTAAATCAACTCACCTTATCTGGTCTGAGACATCTTAGAACTAACATCTTCTGAAACATTCCTAAACGATCGTTCCATTCACCTGGAAGTGTTCCATGGTGAGGGTCCTACAAATATAAATATCATCAATCATTTTTTCCTTCAGAATTGTCAACCAATGTGAATTGTCTACCAACATGAATTGTCTACCAACATGAATTGTCTACCAACATGAACTGAATTGTCTACCCAACATGAATTGAATTGTCTCCCAATGTGCATTGTCCGCCAATGTCAATTGTCGACAAATATGTATCGTCCGCTAATGTTTCATTTCGTTTATCATCTTTATCAGGCAATTCAGTTATCTATTAAATGTTAAAAGGACTTTAAACTTACTGGACTATCATAAATAACTTTCCATGCATCTTTATGACCGACAAACTTTTTACGTATATCTTTAAATCTGTGAAAATCATCAAGACGACAAAGTTCGTCCCATGATTTACTGGGAAGCCAGGTTGTTGGGTTGCTATGGGGATTCTCGAGACCGATTCCACCTGTTAGTAAGAATCTCCATTCATCTTCATCAACCTCTTTGTTATGTTTCAAGATATTAACGCAGAGCAGGAACGAGAACAATAACTAGAAGGAAAAGAAAAAAGATGTCATTCATGAAAGTTATACAAGGGCAATAACTCAACAGGCTCAAGATATTAACGAGAAGGAAAGAAAAAAGATGTCATGAAAGTTATACAAGGGCAATAACTCAATAGGCTCTTTCGTATTCCTGTTAAAATAAGATTTCATAAAAGTTTTAGGACTAACATATGGTTGAATTTTATTTCAATAATTCGCATGCGCGTAGGGGTCTTTAGCAGTGGGAAGAAACCTGAGGACCCGGAGAAAAACCACGAAGTTGGACAGGCGACCCTACTCCTTGTCACGTACAACAGGGGAATTGAAACCATGCCAGTTGACTCAATGACAGGCCTTATGATACAGTGTGCACGTGCTAACCATTCGGTATCAAGAGGGCAGAAGTTTTGGTTGGGAAGTGGGATGAAGGGTTATTAGAGTAACTGTTACAAATTATGCTTTAGACAATCAGTGGAATAAATACACTTATTTATAGTACAATAAATAGGTTTCTTACTGTTATTTACTACAGTACTGATGAAATAAAATGTGGTTTAACGTCCTACTGTGGGCTATGAGGTATATTGTGCCTGGACAGTGGCGCTACGACCTACTTTTTTATCACACAATAAGGTAAGTTTGAGAGAGAAAACAAAATCTGTAAATATATATATAAAATCACCTTATCCTTTTCAAACAGTGATCGACAAACGTTACAATATAACGAATATGTGAAATGGTTGTGTAAATTGCTCAATCGTTGTGTTAGATCATCGGATCTTTCTGCGTTCTCTATCGACATGACGAATAGGTTAATGAACCATGTAAGTGAATATTGGTACATGGGCTCGATGTTGGCGAGATCGGCAATCGAGAAGAACAAAATGGTGCTGTGGATTGCGATTGGTTTGTATCCAAGACGAGCAGTGTCAATCTTTTTCTCCGTCTCATCGGCGATGGCTTGTTTCTCTGAGATTTCATTGGCCAGTTTTTTAGAGGAGGATAAAACTTTAATGGCCGTTTCATCTTCTAGAATATTTCCCTCTGAACTTGACAAGACTTCTAAGATCTTATCTTCAATTTCCTGGAGTTGTCTAAAAAAGAAAATGGAAAGAAGTTAGAGAAAGAGAGAAATGGGGTTTATCATCCTATGGACACAAACTTTGGCATTTCGGGACTAATATATGGCACAATCATTGCAACAATTCGCTTGCGCGTAGGGGTCTTTAGCAGTGACAGGACACCGGAGGACCCGGAGAAAATCCACAAGGTTGGACAGGCAACAAACTACGCCATTTGACTCAATGACACACTTTGGATGTAACCTGTTAAACCATTCAGCAACCCTCTCCCCTGAAAGAAGTTTGGCAGTTACTATGTATTTTCATGTACACAGTTTATACTGAAATGAAATGAAATGGGGTTTAACGTCCTACTTTTCTGCTACTAAACTGGGCTAATGAAGATGGGCATACGCCATACAGTGTGCTCTGAGGGAAATTTTGCCCGTGCAGCGGCACTACAGGATACTCTTATATATCGAATTCCAACTGCCAAGGGATCTTTTACGTGTACGCCAATGTGTACACGGGACCTTGGTTTTTAGTCCTATCCGAACGACTAGACAGCTGTCCTTGTCAGGCCCTCCGTCCTGCATCACTGACAAGGGGAAACCACGCTGGAAAATCTGGATGAACTTTCTCGGCCAATGCAGGGATCGAACACCCGACCTCCAGGCTAGCGAGCCAGCGTCTTACCCACATAGCCACATGATCCCCCACCGTTTATACTACTTCTATAAAATAAATACTAGTATAACATTCACTCGTATATTATAGACAGACATGTTTCAAAAAGTAAGCTCTTAATACCTGTGTATAATAAACAATTGATTGTTATTCCATGTTAGGACATGTTTCCTGAAGCAACGACTGCGAGTTTCACAACATCTGGCCGTTGCTTGTTAAATTCACAATTCCCGAACTTATAGCTTTGTTATCTACAGACACGTGAGCAGTAGCGTCCAATCAAAGGTTGTGACATAGTGACCTCCACGGAAACCTTGACATTGAATGAATCTTGAACTTTGCAACTCGATTATCACAGGTAGACATTTTAGCTTGAAAGCGTGAGACTTGGTATTCGCGACGATCGAGGAATCTGATAGGCTCACAAGTTGGGCTTGTACCCAATCGAAATTAGTGCCGAAATATGCAGTGTATTACGTGAAGGCCCTGATAAGATGTACGTAGTTAAAGCGAGATCAAGCCTTCTATTGAAGATGATGTTAGGAAGGTTTAAACGTCTAAATTATCTTACTCAATTATGGCTTAGATAATCTGATTTAATTTCATTCCATTTATAGACCATTAATAGTTGACCGATTAAATTTACCGTTTATTTTCAGCACTCTGTATAATCAGCTGGTTTTTCTCTTCCTCTAATTCTGGTCGTTCCTTAGCAACCACGATACCTAGCAACTGATCTTCTAAGCCTTCTGGGGTTATCATAAAATTCAACAACGTAACCTAAAGATAAAAATACATTCAATTTTAAAAAAACCTTCAAGTAATGATGCATGATTTGCATTATTCAGAAAATATCAGATATCACATGGCTCAATGTACATTAATATCAGATATCACATGGCTCAATGTACATTAATATCAGATATCACATGGCTCAATGTACATTAATATCAGATATCACACGGCTCAATTCACGTTAATATAACGTGTACTTTGATCATTTTCTATTTAATTAAGAAAACAAAATCAAAATAACAATGCTAGATAATGCCTTGGTTTGAATTCAACCGTATTTAAAACAGGCCCAACAATTTACATCACAGAAAATAAAGATGGCAGCTGTATTGTTACATAGGGAACAGCAGCATAGATAATAGATAATAGAATTTTCATTTTCTCAACAAATATCTTTGTAAATGCTGAATAGAATTGAGTCAGTCAGAACTGACATTCCTATCACAGATACAACTTTTACAATATTGTTGGTTTACAATACTAAAATCAGACACCAAGTCCTAAAAAGCATAATTAATTACTTTTACAATTGGCTTGAATTATATTGAGAGTTGTCTCCCTTGGCACATCATGAAGCATGTATATCTTAGTTTAATGATACATGAGACCCATAAATTAAAATTATACGGATAAATAATAATTTAAAACTCTCAAATGCATTTTCTTCTTGACAAAAGACAAAGTTGCCTTACTTATCTTATAAATTTGAGAAAACAATTTCTTGGATTTAGAGTTGTCTCCCTTGACACATCACGGTACCTTGGCACCTTTGAACATGTTTTGGATATATTTTCATTTTAACAGTATGTGCTAATATGTGAATCTACAATATTTATTTGGATTGTTACCTTGACTGATGTTTCTGGTAGATAATGTGGATTACGCAGTTTAGTTGTGATGTAAAATTTAAAATCTTGAGAATATTCAATGGTGCTGTCACCGAGTTTTATACAGATGCTACCACCCTGTTTAAACGTCTGTTTTAGTAATAACGGCTCTAATAACGGATCTAATTCTTCTTGTATATTTTCTAGCAATACCTGAAATCATAAACATATTATATATGTAAACTTGACTTCTATTAAACATACATTATGCAAGAGCTACATCTGCCTATTGCAAGCCTTTCCTTAGGCCTGAAATGTTATCTAAATTATTAATTAGACATTTATTAACTGATCCAGGCCTTAATCAACTCTCGATGGCATCAGATTTCTCCGATATTAAATAGATTAGAATGGAGGACTGAGACATAGCTTCGATCAACCAGTACGGTGGTTGAAATTATTGCACACGTCTGTCAAACCTTCAAAGGCTAATATCTTCGCTTGCAATAGAGTAATTTGAATGAAATTTTCAAATTATTCATTTTACATCATCTTCTTTCGAACTATTATAGCAAGAATGGCTAGTTCTTTATGTAAATCTTACATTACATAATGTATCTTTAAGGGTCGTGAAGACACGCCAGTGAAAAAAGCTCTAAAATTGATCAGTTAATTCTAGAACTTGCGACTAGATTTAAAATGTAAAAGTCTACTTACAGGAGTTCCGAACTGGATACAGTTTTCTAAGGTTCTAACGAAATCGGCATCACTGAGTTTAATGACATGTAGATTGTTAGCTTTCTCCATATTCTTCACCCATTTATTGGCCTGACCTTGTGGATCAATCATCAATGGCCATCGACGACCGTTACTGAAAACACATTTGTATCAATATAGATTCATAAAATGTTCTTGATATGTCCAAAGCAGATTGTTCAAATACATAAAGACATGAGCTACATTCAAAAAAACGTTGAATAAGAAAAGCATGCAGTCAATATGATAATGGGTGATTGCAGATAGTCCGAAGACAAACTATCGAACATCCAAAACCGTCAAATAAGAAAAATTTGAGCCGAAGCGATTGAAAGAAGAAGACATAATTTAAGCCAGTTTTACCTGATTATGATTCCGTTTTCTATAGAGAAATTGTCTGTTGGTAAACCAGCAATATTCCATGCTCGTATCTTAACAGGTTCACCGAGGGTTGAGATGAGGGAGAAATCATCGGAACAAGGAATACCTCTTTTATTGATACCATCAATCCATGCTTTTGATTGATCCTAACATGTATATTTAATATATTCTTTATAAACATGATATAAAAATAAGAATATTTACGTCATTATTAAACATGACATAAGAATACAAAATATCCTTATTAAACATGACATAAGAATACAACATACCCTTATTAAACATGACATAAGAATACAACATACCCTTATTAAACATGACATAAGAATACAACATATCCTTTTTAAACATGACATAAGAATACAACATATCCTTATTAAACATGACATAAGAATACAACATATCCTTATTAAACATGACATAAGAATACAACATATCCTTATTAAACATGACATAAGAATACAACATATCCTTATTAAACATGACATAAGAATACAACATATCCTTATTAAACATGAGAGAGAGAAAGAGAAATGGGGTTTAACGTCTACTCGACACAAACTAGGTCATTTCAGGACTAACATGTGGTTTAATTTTATTTCAATGATTAGCTTGCGAGTAGGGGTCTTCAATAGTGGGAGGAAACCCGGAGAAACCGGAGAAAACCCACGAGGTTGGACAGGTGACCCTACTCCTTGTCACGTACTTATTAAACATGACATAAAAATATCTAAAATATTTGAACAAATAGAAATTGCTATAAATTTCTTATTTATTCTTAAAAACTCACAAATTATTCTTCCATACATTAATTATTCAAAAACTTTACCAGACAAATACATATATATATATATATAAGAGAGAATATTTACCAGTCTAAATGCTGACGTGAATGCTCCTAGATACGCTACAATACCAGAAGATATCAAAACATCTCCCGTTAAATTGATGTAACGTTTACCTAAATCACGGGCTGCTATACTCCACCTGGTGGCAATATAAAAAAAATTAAACATTAGTATTTTAAATTGTTTAAATACAGCAGACTGTTATAATACAGGAGGTTTTAATTGATTCTTACAGACATGTCAATCATTGTTATAGCTCCACCCACCTGTCACGTTCACCACCCAATCCACCAATTAGCTGTTCAGCTCGTTCTAATTTCTTGGAACACAAATCAACCTCATTCTCCAAGTCAACTTTTTTCTGTTTATTGGCGGCCAGCCTCTCTTCTAACTTGGATAGTTTATCTTGTACTTCCTTTAACGAAGCTCGTTTCTTCTCCAGGGATGCCATGGCAACATTCAATTCATCCTGAGCCTTTTTCAAAGATTCCTTTTTAGGGGCAACAACTTTAGCAACTCTAAAATAAACATGGAAAGACATTCAAAAATTGAACTCTCAGGTCATAATAAAAAGATATTCTAGTTCTCATATTTTGAGGCGTTACTTAAAAATGCAACTTACGCGAACAGTTTTTAATTTAAAAGAGAAAAAAAAAAAGAAACTACAGTGCATTCACATTATATAAGTAGTAGTATGCCACCAGAGTTACAGGTTTATAATAGGACAAATAGAGTAAAAGGTTTATAGTAAGGCAAATAGAGTAACATGTTTATAGTAAGGCAAATAGAGTAACATGTTTATAGTAAGACAAATAGAGTAACATGTTTATAGTAAGACAAATAGAGTAACATGTTTATAGTAAGGCAAATAGAGTAACATGTTTATAGTAAGGCAAATAGAGTAACATGTTTATAGTAAGACAAATAGAGTAACATGTTTATAGTAAGACAAATAGAGTAACAGATTATAATAGGACAAATAGAGTAACATGTTTATAGTAAGACAAATAGAGTAACAGATTATAATAGGACAAATAGAGTAACATGTTTATAGTAAGGCAAATAGAGTCCAAGTTTCTAGATGTGCTAAATATCGTGTCAGTTACCTCAAAACTATTAAATGTGGAAAGTTGAAATTATATATCAATGACTATAAAAGAATATACCATTTGCTTTTTTACAAATAATTACCATTTAAAATTTGCGAGATAAATGATACCGTCCCTCTCATATCCATAAATGTAAAGAATATAAAAATTATTTTTAAAAAAACTGAAGATTTGAAGGATTTCAATGACATGTTTTAGTATGAATACAGAAAAATATGTAGCTTACCTGTCATAGACATCCATAGCTCTGGCCCAACGACATAAACCTTCACAGGCTGTTGATGCTACTTTCACTTTCTCAGGATCAAAATCGGGATTGGTCATGTATTTCGTACGAATCACTTTCATGATAGAAACAGGAATAGTATCCTAAAACAAAATGAAATGAAATACTCTCTGAGTGAGTAACATATTAACAGAACATGGTCACTTTTTTATTCTAAATGCAAGGCTCTTTGACAAGTATCTTCTTTTCTTTATCAAGCACATTGTTGTCCTTAAAGAGAATACAGTGTGCTATGAGGGAAATTTTGCCTGAACTTTCTGTCAACACAGGAAACAGACACAGGAGCTCCAAGTTAGAAATCCAACTTCTTACTCAGTGGACCACCGTGGCTCAATGATAAACAGAAATTTCACAAGTAAAAATTTATCGAATAGTCTCACCTTATCAAAGTTGTACAATGATTCTAAGAATTTCATATCTCCGAGTAATTTTTTCGATGGTCCCCAGAAATCTTCAATCTTTTTACCGGAACCAGATGGATCAGGAACCTTTTCAGCTTTGACTCCCTTCAATACACAGATGGCTTCCATGACGAGACGAACACCGGCAGGCGGTGATTTCATACTCTTTACCAGAGTAATATCCTGAAATAGATCGAAACAACATACTGAAATTTGTAAACATGCTTTTATGATAAAATAAATATAAATCATGGATTTTCTTCACGAAATAGAGAATCTCCTACCAGTCTTTTTTGATATCAAAAAATATCAACATAAGTTGATAAAGTAACAAAAAACGAGGCTCTGCCGAGTTTTTTTTACTTTATCAACGAGTGTTGATATTTTTTGATATCAAAATAGACAAGTAGGAGATTTTATTTATCACCCAATCCCTTCTTACATGCACAAATAGATAAATATAATTCTTTGCTGTAGATTTCACTTTTACTGAACTTTGCCGCGTAGTGATACATCATTTTTTGACAGTAATTCAACCATTGCAAAGTCCTTTATATTGACCCAGTGTTTCCATCAAGGTCAACTGAATACAATAGTTCGTTTTTAATTTTAAAAAAAGTTACTTTTAATAAGAAATGAACTGTTCTTTGAAAATAAAAAAAAGTAGTTCCTTTACAACTGACCAATCAAATTCATGTAAAGCGATATCTCCTAAGGAGATTATGAAATTTATCACACAAGCGATATCTACTGTAGAATGTATTATTGGGTGATAAAGTAAAATGGATAAATATTAGGCACTAGTATTAATGTTAGTACAAAATGACATTTCTACAGAATTTATATCAGAGATTTGAGTCAAAGAATTTTCGTTCCAATAGCAAGTTTCAGATTCGCCACCAACAAGCACTGAGATTTTATTTAGAGGTCAATCCTATGAAGTTTTCAGTCATAAAAATTCCCTTGAGTGTCTGCTGATTCAACTGATCCGTGGGTGTAAGGGTGTTATGTTGTACTGACCTGTGGTGTGAGGGTGTTCAGGGCAGATATAGCAGCATTTAAAGCTGGAATAGCTTCCCCTAGTTCTCGATCACACTCATCTTTAATAGCTTGAGCAGCTTTAGCTTGTTCATTGGCTACGGCTTCATCCGCTTTTACAACCTACAACAACAAAATACAATAAACTGAAAAACAAGTAGATGTATCCCTAACTATACTAATGACACGCGATACAATTTCTGCCTTCAGCTTGTTCAATGGCTACATATGCAATGTCAGAAAGGAAGGTAAATACTTTTAAATGAAATGAAATGGGAATTAGCATCCTACTTTTCAGAGAGGATTGGGATAATGAAGACGGGCATATGTCATACAAAATGCCATGGGGAAATATTTAGCCCTGACCGTCTACTCTTATATTGAATTTTAACTGTCAAGGATTCTTTTACGTTCACACCGATTTGTACGCAGGACCTCAGTTTTACATTCCGACAAAGGGGAACCACATCAGAAAATCCCGATGAAATTTCTCTTACATCACTGGGATCAAACACGGGACGTCCATTTTAGCAAGTCAAACATCTTTCTCACTGAGTCACCTCGGCTCCCAAATCCCTAGTAATAATGACATACAATTTCTCACTTTAGAGCTGACCTCTTCAAATTTCATAGATATAATTTAAGATTCATATTTTAATTGTAATTAACAATAGGAAGTTATAAGCATGGGCTCCATGTGGTATAAAACTACAAACCCATCTCTTTTTATAGTAACAAATGCAATTTGGAATGTTTCATGAATATACTTCAGAAATCTTGAGATGTGAAATGCCGGTCATAAGCGAGGACTATGGAAAATGATCGAGGACTGTGGAAAATGATCAAGTGGAAAATGTTCGTGGACTGTGGAAAATGTTCGAGGACTGTGAAAAATGATTGAGGACCGTGGAAAATGTTCGAGGACTGTGGAAAATGATCGAGGACCATGGAAAATGATCGAGGACTGTGGAAAATGACTGAACCTAGATCTAGCCTGAACACTAGCATTGTAAGTTACAAGTGCAATGCGAGGTGTGAGTTTTTGTCTCTGAAGGTAGCGTTACCGTCTTCTCTTCTTTCATTTCTAACTGTCTCCTCTTACAAGTACGCAATCATGTATATGAATGGACATCAGTTGTTTTTTTTTCATCTCATCTAAACAACTGGACACCCTTTTAGCATGAGCACTAGGAAATAAAAGTGAATAAAAACAAATATTCTTCACCTTTTCAACTTTTGCGACTTCTATTGATTCTCGTTCTACTGTCACCATAATCTCCGCAACTTCTTTAGACGCTTCCACCAGTTGGGGCTGAAGATCTGTTAATTCTTTCTGCATGACAGCAACTTGTGACGCTGCTGAGTCCAGTTTCTCTAAACCTACTTCATACCTATTCTTCTGTTTCATAACCTCTCTACAAAAAAATGAGGTTTGTATTTAAAAAAGATATAATTATTATTTAAAGCAAGATTGGTTAAAAATTCGAGAAAATGCGAAAGATTATTCAAACATTAAATAAAGTGATGGAAAATATGAAATTTTGGAGAAAGCTGAAATTAAGTACAACTTTTTGAGCACATAAACATCTTTGGGAAAGAAATCTTGAGCTACAAGATTAAACGTAATTAAAACCTAATATTTATCTTCAGTACCTGTACAGGTGGTTGGATGGCTGAATGGTTAGCATTTGCGCTCTGTATCATGAAGTCTGTCATTGAGTCAACTGGCGTGGTTTCGATTCCCTGGTTGTACGTGACAAGGAGTAGGGTCGCCTGTCCAACCTCGTGGGTTTTCTCAGGGTCGTCCGGTTTCCTCCCACTGCTGATGAAGACCCCTACACGCAAGCAAATTATGGAAATAAAATTGAACCACGTTAGTCCCGAAATGACCTAGTTTGTGTCGAGTGGACGTTAAACCTCATTTCTCTCTCTCTCTAAGTACCTGTACAGTTTCCAAATCTCTGAATACACTATATACTGTGTTGCACTATACAACGTTGCGCTATATAAATGTTGCGCTATATAAATGTTGCGCTATGTAAATTATAATCACTTACCCTCTCTTTTTATCGAGTAAAGTTTTAAAAGTGTTGATTAATTCCAGGTACGATGTTGGCGTGACGTAATTATGACGTTCCAACTCTAAAAGGAATCGCTCTGATAAATCTCTCGTTGACGTGTGGAACTCGATACACATACTTGTACATCCAGTCTTTTCTTCTTCTGACATCTCAATCTCTTCCAGGAATCGGACAGCTACAGCCTGCAGGGCATCTTCAGGCCATGACTAAAAGACAAAGATCAAAAACTCATGAAATATCAGAGTACATTATTAAATGGCATGAATAAAGAATTTGGACCAGTTGGATATCCAACAAGGCGAAACAATGAAATGGGGTATAAAGTCTCATCAAGACAATACTTTGGTTATTTTGAGACTAACATGTGGTTAATGTATCATCAACATGATACTTTGGTTATTTTAGGACTAACATATTGTTAATGTCTGGTCAACACACTACCTTTGGTTATTACGAGATTATGGTTAATGTCTTGTCAATACAATACTCTGGTTATATGGAGACTAACATATGGTTATTTTGCTACAGAAAGAATTTTGGACCAGCAGTGGCCAACCGTTCCATGTATTCCAATTATTAAAGTTATTATAGATGCACGCCAATATGAACATGATTGGATCATCTGTTTTTCATCCCATCCAAATGACTAGCCAACACCTTATTTGTCAGCCCTGACATGTTCTTGTATAACAAGGATCATAGGCCAATCGTAATAAATAAACATTTTTAACTGGCAAAGGTCTTTAACCAATACATTATCTATCAGTTTCGACAAGTGTCACGCCTTGTAACCTGAGAACTGGGCATGGTTTGTAGGTAGGTCAAACGTAATAAAATAAACAATTTCAAAAATAATCATTAATCAATGAAATTTCTTTGTAAATCAAAATATATGGCAAGTAGCAATCTAAGATTTCTTTCATGGAGGTACGAACTCATCATGCTTCGGTGAGATTGTCTGGCTGTTCGTTTAAATAGACATCTGGGGAGAGAGAAAGAAATGGGGTTTAACGTTCACTCGACACAAACTAGGTCATTTCGGGACTAACAAATGGGTCAATTTTATTTTCATAATTCGCTTGCGCGTAGGGGTCTTTAGCAGTGGGAGGAAACAGGAGGACCCGGAGAAAACCCACGAGGTTGGACAGGCGACCCTACTCCTTGTCACGTACAACCGGGGATTCGAAACTACGCCAGTTGACTCAATGACAGACTTTATGATACAGCGCGCACGTGCTAACCATTCAGCCATCCAACCCCCCTACATAGACATCTGGGACCGGAGAAAAGTAGAAGTCACGGGTGAATCAGAACAATTCTGTTTCAATGGAGTCGCTGCTTCCATATCTATGAGTGAACATAATGTCAGCTAAAGAATTGCCGTTATTAAAATGGTTATTTGCACAGACTCTAAAACTCGCAACTTGAATAGATTTTATGAAATGTCTGACTAACCTGAAACCAATCAATAGTACAACAGTTGACAAGTGACGGAAATTTACGGAGACGATTACGGAAAGAATCACCGATCGGACTCATAGCGAGTACGACGTGAAGTTGGTCTCGTACTCTCTGGATAAAGAAGTTAAATAAAGATACGGGGGATCCATCCGTCTGCTTTGTCTTATCTCGTTGTCTGTAAAGAGAAAGTTTTTCAAGATGTGTTATGTAAGAGCTAAATCTGCCTATTGCAAGTCTTTCATTTGGCCTCAAAATAACGCATTAATTAGACATTTATTAACATGCCAGGCCTATAATCTACTCCCTAGATCATTGGGTTGGAAAATCCTGGAGATACTTTCTCAGCCTATACTGGGAATGAACATGGAACCTCCAGGCTTGTAAGTCAGTGTCATACTCATCAAGTTACTGTGACTTCAGGACATGGAAAAGGGTGTATAAATCGGTGGTTTGGAGTTATCTCTGCCACTGTATAAATCTTGTCTTGACAGTCAAAATAATAGTTTTATCTTTCTTCAGTCCCTATCTTATCTGCTCAGTCCCTATATAAGTTTTATCTTACCTGCCCCTACTCCGTCCCTATATAAGTTTTATCTTACCTATCAATTTGTCTCATCTTTTCACAGATTTCTTGTTTTTCATCGAGTGGATAAAGATTGGGAACTTCACCAGCATTCAGTAAATTATTAATATCTTCTAAAAATGATTCTTGTTTTATCTATAATTATAAAAGACAAAAGGTCACTTTATTTACCTGATGTTAAACTTTCTCCATCTTTAAAACATCAGCTAGGGTACAAATATAACATTTACCATAACATCAAAACATGCACAATATATAACATCAATCAAGTGAAACTGATGTTTTTCAACTTGTTTATGAAACTGATATAAAGAACAGGTACATAAAAATTATATCAAACCAAAAAACAAGAAGTGTATCATAGAATGGGGGAGAGGGAGATTAATTGTGTATTTCAGAATGGGGGAGAGCGGGAGATTACCTGTGTATCAGAGACGAGAGAATGAGAGCGAGAGAGATTACCTGTGTATCAGAGATGAGAGAATGAGAGAGGGAGATTACCTGTGTATCAGAGAAGAGGAATACAGCATGATTATCTGTTTCTGTCGATTTTCGTAGAATTCTCTTCAAATCTTCTCTCCATTCATAGGATGTGTAACTCTTCGTAATTTCAACCTGATAAAAATAAATAATAGCCATATTGTAATAACAACATAACATTACTGTTAGCTGTGTGAACTTCAGTTGTTGCAGCAATTCTCAATGGGAACGAATCAGTAGTGTATATAAATAAGATATTTAAATATTTTCTAGACAGGAGTAACAACTGACGGACATACAAACCTGGAACAGATCGTAGTCTGCCATATGGGCAGCAAGTCTTGTTAATGATTGACGTCCCGAACCTCCAACACCGACCAACAGGGCATGACTTCTTGGTTGTTTTAATATACGAGCTATTCTTGATACATGTTCTATAGCAAATCTACAAAATAGATATTACAACAGATTTAATAATCACAAAACCCAGGACTAACATATGGTATAATCTTTGTCTCTATAATACATTTGCTCGTATGTGTCTTTAACAGTGGGTAGAAACCCCGCTCCCTCCAACCCCCATTCACTGTTCATTCTACTAGTGATGCCAGCATCCTACCACCCCCACCACCCCTGTTCACTGTTCATTCTACTAGGGATGCCAGCGTCCTACCACTCAACTTCCACCCACACCACCCCTGTTCACTGTTCATTAAGCTAGTGATGCCGGCGTCCTACCAACCTCCCTCCACCCCCGTCACCCCTGCTCACCCGTTCTTCTAGTGATGCCAGCGTCCTATCAACCATTCACTGTTTTCAATTTTAATCCGATTTCAATGTATATGACTGTCTTATTTAATTTCTGTACAAGTGAGCACTTGGTCATGCACTATAAAAATGTACAATATCATATCTGTTTCTTTAATGTTGACTGATGTTCAGAACTTTGATGAGAAATTTCATTACCTGAACAGAACAAGGTTCATGGGCTTTTTACTCAGGTTGTTAAATTCATCCAGATATCCTTCCACCACATGACGTAGTTCCTCCAAATCTCGAACCTCAAGATAATCTTTCTTGTCCGATTTAGGATCCGAAAAATCACAGAAAATTAAGCTACGGATGTCATCCTCGATCAGTTTTCCATCATTATCCGAATCCAGGTTGATCAAAAGTTGATCAAAATCTTCTTTGAGTTTTGTTTTCGTCACTTCACGAATGTGGGTAAAAAACCATTTATGATCGGAACTATCGACCAATCTGTCATAGAATACTCGATATACCTATAAGTTAAATTAAAATTAAAATGAGAGAGAGGGAGAAAGACAGCAATAGGGTTTAACATCCACGTGCCACAAACTAGGTCATTTTGGGACTAACATATGGGTTCAATTTTATTTCAGCGATTCACTTGCGCGTAGGGGTCTTTGGCAGTGGGAGGAAACTGGACAGGCAACCTTACTCCTTGTCACGTACAACCGGAGAATCAAAACCACACCAGTTGACTCAATGACAGACCTTATGATACAGCGCGAACATGCTAACCATTATGCCATCCCACTCACCTAAAATAGAATGGAATGGGGTTTAACGTCTAGTCATTTCGAGACTAACTTGGTAAATTTCCTTTCATGGGTTACAAGTGTAATAAGTCGTTAGGGGGGAAGCTGGGGGGTGGGGATATCGTCAGGAAATCCAACTGCCATGGGTTCATTTACATGCACAACGATATATACTTGGGTTGGTCTTCGGCAGAAAAAGAAAACAATTTTGATTTTATTATCATCATTGCTAAATTTACAAATATTTTGATTATTATTGTCATAAATTTATGAAGTAACAAAGTTTTTAAATTTAAATTCTTCTTCAGATCAAATTTTTGAAACAAATTTTACAAAATTGAAATAGAAAATAAAACTTAAAAATTTTAATATACTTACTAAATCAAAAACCAAGAATCTAGATGAATATTTACATAGAAAAACGAGATGAAACAAAACAAACCTCGTGAATCCAGAGTCGTTTCATGGAGCCTGGTTCTTCCATTGTGTCAGGTGTTGAGAGTAGTACCCCCTGAATAACACGACTAAAATCTCGTAGATTGAAGAGATAATGTGATTTAGCGGGAGTAGGCAGCAGATTCTCCATGGCCCCTTTATAAACTTGTAACGTAGCATTGACGACTTGATCAATACACGGTTTAAACTCGTTACTGAATCCTCTACAAAAATACAGAATGAAATTAAAACATTAGTTGACATGTCACAAAGCTTCATTTAAATTCTCTACAAAAAAAAAATGAAAAAACAAAATCAGTAGACGTATCACAAAACATGTTCAAACTACCAGGTCTAAGAAATGAAAGGGAATGAAATACTGTAATGGGGTTTAACGTCTGACCGAGAAATAAAAGGGGTTTTAACGTCCTATTATTCCATGCCAACCAGGCGATTGAAGACCAGAATATGCCATGCAGTGTGGATTCAACAAAACATTGCTTACACACTACTGCCTACTCTTAGTCTTAATTTCAAACTGTCAGGGCATCTTCAACATGCTGCTAATGGTCCACAGACAGGGTCTCTGGGGTTTTTTTTTGTACCATACGAAGGGAGACAGAGAGAGAGAAATGGGGTTTAACGTCCACTCGACACAAACTAGGTCATTTCGGGACTAACATATGGTTTTAATTTTATTTCAATAATTCGCTTGCGCGTAGGGGTCTTTAGCAGTGGGAGGAAACCGGAGGACCCAGAGAAAACCCACGAGGTTGGACAGGCGACCCTATTCCTTGTCACGTACAACCGACCATACGAAGGACTAGCAAGGAAAACATCCAGAGGAACTTTCTTGGCCTAAACAGGGATTGATTATTGAACACAGGACCTTAATTCTGTATAATTATGAACCAGAAAGCCTGTAAAAATTCTAATATATCTCTGTAAAGATTTTGTTAGAGAGAGGGAAATGGGGATTAACGTCCACTTGACACAAACTAGGTCATTTCGGGACTAACATGGTTCAATTCTATTTCAATAACTAGCTTGCGCTTAGTAGGGGTCTTTAGCAGTGGGAGGAAACCAAACGACTCAGAGAAAACCCACAAGATTGGACAAGAGGTTATTAGCCGCAACCATAAAGCAGCCACGGTGGCATTGTGTGTAAAACGTTTGCTCGATAACCTGGAGGTCTCATGTTTGATCACTGTGTTGACCAAGAAAGTTCATCGGATATTTGGGAAAGGTTCCCCCTTGTCGGTGATGCAGGACAGAGGGCTTATTTGAATAAGTAGAAACAAATGTGGTGTAATTATACTTACTTAGCAGAGATATGCCAGTCCATAATACGTCTAAATATGGTAATCATCGTATCATCATCAAATTCATTTATAGTAACAGTATTCATGTGACGTAAAAACCGAGGTGTAACAGGATTACGACCACCACCTGAAACCAGAAATATATTATAGTAAAAACCGAGGTTTAACAGTATTGAGGATTAATCTCTAGAAAATGGAGTTTTGCAGTTGTGAGGTCTTTAGTAAGGGAGAATTTTGTCTCGGTCGCAAACTTGAAATTGTTATCTCCCATAATGAACTAATAGACAACCTTGCAGAAGTCTAACAGAGAGAGAGAAATGGGATTTAATGTTCACTTGACACAAACTAGGTCATTTCAGGACTAACATATGGTTTTAATTTTTTATTTCAATAATTCGCTTGCACGTAGGGGTCTTTAGCAGAAGGAGGAAACCGGAGGACCCGGAGAAAACTCACAAGGTTGGACAGGCGACCCTACTCCTTGTCACGTACAACCGGGGATTTGAAACCAAGCCAGTTGACTCAATGCCAGACCTTATGATCTAATGCGGCCTTGTTAAATCATTCGGCCACCCAAACACCTGATCAATACCCGCAGCTCCCATCTGTCTGCTAATCATTCTAGATTTAGCAGGAGTTCAATAAAAAGTTTTAAAGTACCTGGCGGTCCCATGGCTCCCATGAACTGTATATCAATAAGTTTTATTGGTGTTGTATCTTTAAGATCGTACCAGTTCCAATGATCTAACCATTGACGGATTAATTCTATCGGAGGTTGAGCTCCGTATGTTTCTCGGATCGGCATATTTAAATCATCAACAAATACAACCTAAGAGATAAAATAAACACAATTCACATATTTATATCAACAAATACAACCTAGAGATAAAATATTCAAATCATTAATACAAGCTGGGGAAATAATGTCACAGCCATTGACATGTTTTGCATCATTGACAGTTGAGATGTCTTGAGTCAGTGTGAAATGTCAATGCCTTGGGTCATTTGCAGCATGTTTTATATAATTGTGTTATATCAATACTGTCATATTGTAGGACTACCATCTTTGAATCAGAAACTTCTCTCACATTTGGGAAATAAAACTAATTATGGTACAATTGGCTAATTTTTAGACTGACAGGAACTTTTTTTTTTTATGAAAAATTACAAAAAAACAACATTGAGTAAATATGTGCTGCTTACAGGAAAGCAAATCAGGTTTGATGGGATGTTAACCTCTACTGAGCTATTGCAGCAAATGAAATGAGGTTTAATTGCACGTCTGCCCCAACTGGGTTATTAAAGAAACTAATCAATGATTGATACTTACAGCTTTTTTACCAAGTGGTGGACCGAATACACCCTTTCTTCTTTTATCTAACTTAGACATGATAATATTCTGAGTCTGATTGGCGCTCGTTTGGGCAGAGAAATTGATGATGTTTGGTTTGTAGACATCCTTTGTTAACTTGTTCAATAAAAATTCCTGGAAAAATACAAAATTCAAATGTTCTGGGAGTTGGGATGTATAAAGCAAGAGGTAAATCTGTATTGTGGCTTCAAATGTTATATAAAGTATTATTTAGACATTTATTCACATGACATGCCCATAATCAACTCTCTAGATCATCAAATTTTACAAGAATAAACAGTCTATGCCACATCTTGTCAAAACTACAAACAGTGATAACTTCACTCACAATCAAGTAATTTAAATGAAACTTTCGTGAATATTAATTTTACATGATCTATATTTGAACTATTTAAATTAAAACAATATACTTACAATAATGTAACATGATTTTCCTGTACCGGTCGGACCAACGAATAAACTTGGTTTTTGATGTAGAATCAGGAGACTCATCAGGTATGTATAACGGACCGTATCTATCGTTGGTACAATGATTTCATTAAACATCGCATCTTTAGGTATAGGTGGACTGTCTTTGATTTCTTCAGCAAATGGTACCCACTTTCCAGCACCCTAAAAATGATCAAAACATGAAATTACTGTCACATGATCGTCAGGACAAACTTGACAATATAATGAGGGAGAAGGTTGAACGTTCTCTAAGGACAAACTATGTCATTTCAGGACTAATATATGAAATGAAATAGGGTTTAACATCCTACTGTTCTGCCCCGACTGGGCTAATGAAGATGGGCATACGCCTTACAGTGTGCTACTCCTATATCGAATTCCAACTGCCAAGGGATCTTTTACTTGCACATCAATGTGTACACGGGACCTCGGTTTTTTGTCCCATCCGAACGACTAGACAGCTGTCCTTGTCAGGCCCTCCGTCCTGCATCACTGAGAAGGGGAAACTATGCCGGAAAATCTGGATGAACTTTCTCGGCCAATGCAGGGATTGAACACCCGACCTCCAGGCTAGCGAGCCAGCGTCTTACCCACTTAGCCATCAAGACCCCCGGACTAATATATAGTACACTCTTTATTTCAATAATTTGTTTGGAGAACCATGAATAAAAAAACAAATGAGATTAGAAGGTGGCACGTACAAGTGTGTGGTCGAAGCTACGCTACTTGACTCAATGACAGACCTCATGATCTAAAGCTCACAAGTTAAATGAAATGGTGTTTAACGTCCTACTGTTCTGCTCTGGGATAATGAAGACAAGCAATCGCCATACAGTATGCTATGAGGAAAAGTTTGCCTACTCTTATATCGAATTCCAACTGCCAAGGAATCTTTTACGTGAACGCCAATGTGTAAATGGGACCTAGGTTTTTCTTATCATCCGAATAACTAGACAGCTGTTCTTGTCAGACCGTCCCTCCTGTACGACTGAAAAGGGGAAACCACGTTGGAAAATTCTAATAATTAATTGATGAAAACATGTTTTCCTTTCTTACCTCTTTAACAAATTTATAATCATAAACTTTTCCTTTTGGTGGGAATGGATTGAGGTAGGGTTTCATCGGAGGTTCCACGAGATCTGGGATAACTAACATTTTTCTTGTTTCTTCTGTCATGCCACCCTGGTAATAATAAAATATACAATAGAAGTCATGTGATGAAGACAAAACCTATTGCCATAAAGAGGTATTTTGATTATCATTGTGGTCTGAACCATTATGCTTATGTAGATATAAGTTGTCTCCCTTATGCTGTAGTTCTTCTGCCTTTTTCAGTAATATAGATTAGAATTCTAACATATAGAATGGTTGTTTGTATCTTTCACCCACAAGTTTAGTGTAAGGGAAATGGAACGAAATGAAATAAAATGGGGTTTAACATCCTACTGTTCTGCTCCTATACTGGGCTAATGAAGACGGGCATACGCCATGAAATTTTGCCCGGGCAGCGGCACTATCGCCTACTCTTATATCAAATTCCAACTGCCACGGGATCTTTTACGTGCATTCCAATGTATACACGGGACCTCGGTTTTCCGTCTCATCCGTAGGACGAGACAGCTGTCCTTGTCAGGCTCTCCGTCCTGCATCACTGACAAGGGGGAACAACGCCGGAAATTCTGGTTGAACTTTCTCGGCCAATGCAGGGATCGAACACCCGACCCCCAGGCTAGCTAGCCAGCGTCTTACCCACTTAGCCACGTGATCCCCAGGGAAATGAAACCTAACCACTTGACTCAATGACAGACCTTATGATCCAATATGGTCTTTTTAACCCATTTGCCGTCCACCAAAACAGTGATAATCTGTGCCCAACAAATGAAATGGGGTTTAATCCTACTATTCTGCTCCGAGTGGGCTATTGAAGACAGGCATACGCCATACAGCGTGCTATGAGGGTAATTTTGCACAGACAGTGACCTACGGCTGTCTCTTGTATCGAATTCCAACTGCCAATTGATCACACATTGTACACGGGATCTCATTTTTTTGTCCCATCCGAACGACTGTCCTTGTCACTGTGCCCAACACTAGCTAGAGGTCCTATCCCCCACAAAGCCTGAATTTGTGCCTTGACAACGTCTGTGAACAGCGCCTTATTTCCGGGCTGGGTATGGTGTACATTTTCTATTGTATTCATAATATAACTTACTGAAATGAGTTCTCGTAAAACTTTATCAAATTTAACACGACCAGTATCATCTGAACTGGCGCCAACGGACCAAGTTATAGCGAAGAAAAAGATACTCTGGAATGAAAGAATCAGGTTATTTTAATTAAACATACATTATGCAAGAGCTAAATCTGCCTATTGCAGGTCTTTCTTTAGGCCTGAAATGTTATATAAATTATTAATTAGACATTAATTAACCTATCCAGATCATAATCAACTCTAGATGGCATCGCTAGCCTGCGATCTTTAGTGGATTACGAGCCAATTTACTGCATAGCTTCCTTCACGATTTAACAATTAAATGGATAATCAAGACTATGCTGTTTATAATTTATCGTACTGACTTTAGTAATGATGATAAAGGCTAGGCTGAAATTCAATCGCTTTGTTCTCGGTTCATAGTGGATCAATTTGAATGAAATTTTCAGCAAATTGCCTTTACATTATCTAGTTTTTAACTATTATAGTGAGAACTGGCAACTCGTAAGGGAATCTCCAATAATGTATCTTTAATAAATCACAATGAGTCATGTGTTTGAGCAGAAGAACAAAGTAGAAAATATAAACAATATGTATATATCTAAATTAAAGATAATTATTACATTGATATTAACTAAACAATGAATGGATAAAGCTGAAGAAAATGAACAGATTGAGCTGGGGAAAATAGATGAATGGACTGAGTTGTGAGATATGAATGGACTGAGTTGAGAGATATGAATGGACTGAGTTGAGAGATATGAATGGACTGAGTTGAGAGATATGAATGGACTGAGTTGAGAGATATGAATGGACTGAGTTGAGAGATATGAATGGACTGAGCTAGGAAAAATGATTGGATATAAATTTGGAAAATGAATGGATAGATGGGAAAATGTCTTGTCATCCATTCTGTTTCACATTCTAAATACTAAGTACAAATTCTTTACCATCTGATTGACACTGCTCAAAACAAACATGCACCTTCATCGCCAAACAAGAGACTTTCTCCCCCCCAAGATACGATTATAACAAGTGCCCTTACACCACTGCTATCCCTGACTACATTACAAAAATATTTCATGACAATCTAAATCTTTTTTAATATAGATATAGTAGGGTGGTCCACAGCCTCAAATATAGGTTGTTTTGTTCTGGTCGTGGTCCGCCCTTATATATATAGAACCATTTCTTACCTCAAGCCAGGTTATTATCTCCCTTTCTTCCATCTGCGTGATCTTAGCCTCATCATTGAACTCGTCAAACAAACAATCCATCAGGTTCATCAGTGAGTTGATTAAATTAGAATCATTGGTTGGTGATAATTCCTGGCAATAAACACAGAATAGAATGAATATAAGTTACAATCATCCTTGATACTCAGTTTTGACCATGTGCTCCATTAAATTAAACATAATAAATCAAATTTTTATTCCACAAAATTCACCAATTTGTTATAACAGTATGTTTTATAACTGAAAGAATCTGGACAAAAAACACTTTTAAACACATGTTCACAAAACTAATACTGCCTCTAGTATCTCAAACCACCAGAGTCATGTCAATAGCTGTCATCTATTTAAGGATCGTTTACTAGTTCTGTGCCTCAGGTTGTTTCAGGCGGTCATAGACGCAGTAGTTTTGGGCATTTTCAAAAATGCTAAAAGGATGCTTTTTTACTGTGTTTTTTTTCAGGGTATGGCCCTCAATATCTAAATTTGCAAAGGGTTTAAATTTTCAAATGGATGTACATTATTAAGTGGCTTTATATGAGACAAAAAAAAAAAACCCACCAAAAACCATTGTGTCCAAATTTAAAAGAGACACAAAACCGAATGAATCAAGTATCCATCAGGATATAGCTCACATTTAGTGACTGGTTGTCTAACTTGGCGTTTGGGAATTTCTGACCTCTGCAACCGACATGACAATAGACCAGGCACCCAAGAGAAGTAATTCTACATGTACATTAATCAAAAAGACAAAAAGAGTTATTTCAACTGACCTTGACCCCAGCTTTTCTGATGACACGTAACATTGGATCAGCGAACCTTTCAAACATGTCGTTAATTATAGCTTTGTACGTCTCTGTAAACGTTGATGGTAAAACGTTCAACCACGATTTAACTAATGGTCTCCAGCCTAACGACGCAGGCTCCATGTATATCATACCACATCGGGACACCTGAAACACAAAACAATTTAATCACTGCTCAGAAAAAAAACACGTAGCTCACAGACAAACATAATTAGTTTAAATCCACAACAAGATAGGTCATTGACAAAAAAACCCCCAATTAATTTAATGTAAAACTACATTATGCAAGAGGTAAATCTGCCTATATAAGTCTTTCTTTAAACCTGAAATATTAATCAGACTAAAAACACAACACAGTTTATATGGAAATACAATCACTGGTTTATATGGAAATACAATCACTGGTTTATATGGAAATACAATCACTGGTTTATATGGAAATACAATCACTGGTTTATATGGAAATACAATCACTGGTTTATATGGAAATACAATCACTGGTTTATATGGAAATACAATCACTGGTTTATATGGAAATACAATCACTGGTTTATATAGTTTGTGCTTGATAACGATAAGAGAATACTTGTCGAAACGCCATGCTATGCCTATAAACCAGTGATTGTATTTCCATATAAACTGTGTTGTGTTTTTAATGTGTTCAATCGCTAAATGCCACTCAAGGACTATATTAATCAGACACTTATTAACATGACAAGACCATAATCAACTCTCTAGGCCATTGGATTGCTCAGATTTTAACATTGTCCATTTAATGATTTAATTTAAAACTCGAGTAACGATAATAAACAATCAATTTAAAACTCGAGTAACGATAATAAACAATCAATTTAAAACTCGAGTTACGATAATAAACAATCAATTTAAAACTCGAGTAACGATAATAAACAATCAATTTAAAACTCGAGTTACGATAATAAACAATCAATTTAAAACTCGAGTTACGATAATAAACAATCAATTTAAAACTCGAGTTACGATAATAAACAATCAATTTAAAACTCGAGTTACGATAATAAACAATCAATTTAAAACTCGAGTTACGATAATAAACAATCAATTTAAAACTCGAGTTACGATAATAAACAATCAATTTAAAACTCGAGTTACGATAATAAACAATCAATTTAAAACTCGAGTTACGATAATAAACAATCAATTTAAAACTCGAGTTACGATAATAAACAATCAATTTAAAACTCGAGTTACGATAATAAACAATCAATTTAAAACTCGAGTTACGATAATAAACAATCAATTTAAAACTCGAGTTACGATAATAAACAATCAATTTAAAACTCGAGTTACGATAATAAACAATCAATTTAAAACTTGAGTTACGATAATAAACAATCAATTTAAAACTCGAGTTACGATAATAAACAATCAATTTAAAACTCGAGTTACGATAATAAACAATCAATTTAAAACTCGAGTTACGATAATAAACAATCAATTTAAAACTCGAGTTACGATAATAAACAATCAATTTAAAACTCAAGTTACGATAATAAACAATCAATTTAAAACTCGAGTTACAGTAATAAACAATCAATTTAAAACTCGAGTTACGATAATAAACAATCAATTTAAAACTTGAGTTACGATAATAAACAATCAATTTAACACTCGAGTTACGATAATAAACAATCAATAGACATATCTTGTCAGAACTACAAACACTGATAACATGTAATTTGACTGAAATTTTCAATATTTTCCTTTTGCATTATCTATTTTTGAGCTATTATAGCAAGAACGATCAGCTCTTTATCTAAATATTATATAATGTATCTTTAAGTAGAAACTTAAATACTTTCAAAATGCTCAAAAGACACTTACAGTGGCAGGTGAGGCAACTTCTAAATCCATTGGTTCAAACATCAAATTAGTTGTATTAGCTAACTGGATAATCTCCCCACTCATCAAACATAGTTTTTTATTGTCGTCCAGTACTGTGTTCATGTTCTCAATCCAGACGGCATCTACAGGTCCATCAAATATCAGCCATTTACGATCGGGAGTCTGTAGAAAAAAAAATGGTACCAAGGTAAAATTCAGACGGTGATTCAATTTCAATATATATTGGTACTCCTTTTAAGGCCATACAAAAAAATATCCCAAATTCACAGACAACCCTTTGAAAAAGTCTGCTGAAGGAGAGGTTTTTATTTTGTCAAAGGATTACTACTGGGTTAAATGAATTCTCATATAAAACATCACCTTTCACGGTAATGGATTTAGCATGCTGTTTATTGCTTCCTGTAATTGTTACATGAAACTATTAAAGTTACAATAAAGCCCTAAAATAGATGGTATCTATAAACAGTCCTACCTTGTTAAAGAATAATCCTATTAATACTATAATTCACTATTGCCAGTTGAGAAATTGGCAAAAATATCATTTTCAACTTCAGATAGCTATTCCATGGTGGGGAATAGGAAAACAAGGGAGGTAATTGGGAGGTAATTGTGTTATTATTTCCAAGTTGAAGATTTTTAAGTGTGAGAAAGATAACCTATGATCGTATAATAGTGAGTTGACAACCTATTGAGCAAAAGACATAGAAATAATTATGTTTTGACTTTCTTAGAAAATATAAAATTGTAACTTTAATGAGATTGTTGATGCAGCACTTTTTGTATAAGTTATGCAAGAGACCCAGAATATTTTTTTTGTATGGCCTAAACATCTCGTAATAATTAATAATAACTAGCAGTAGCAGGTTTCCTAGGAAACACTATCCGCGATATCACCCTAGGTGGAGGTGGATGTCAAGCCCCATTGACAGAGAGAGAGAGAGATGTATACTTACAGTAGAGCTAGCGAAAGCTCGATAAGATACAGCAAGGATACCATCAGACCATTCATGAGATACAGGATCAAACTGTCCGTAAAGTTGACCCATCGTGATAGCTTTAGGATTGATAATTGTTATCTGTACTTTATTCTCTTCCATTAATCCCTGAAATATTCACAACAAATTAATCCCTGATATAGCAGAAATATAAAAATAATTTATCAGTCGAGGTTCACAATTCACAGAATTACAATCAAATGACACAGAATTCAAGTTTTATCATTGATATAATCAAACACTGTCAATAGGTTTGGTTGAAATATTGGGGTATTTGACGTTTGCGTTTATTGGATATTTTTCCCCTTTATCACTCCAACTCATGATAACAGGCCCCAGTTTTACAGAGCATTCTCACACTTAATTTAAGAATTGACTCAAAATCGTTCGCCTTATTTTAGCTAAATATAGTCTTTTATTAAACTTTTGTTGTTTTAATATATCAAATACATCAATAAGAAACTATGTGCAATGTTTTGTGTTTCTGGATTAAAGATATTTCTCCTAAACAGTGATTGAAAGTTGAGTAAATTCTTAACTTAAGTCTGGGAATGCTTTGTGAAGTTGAGGCATTATTGTTGTATGGTAGTTATGTCTCTAAGCCCATTATAGACTCAGAAATGAGGCCTGTCACATTGGTTCCGATAAATGAAGTAGTGTATGTAGAATCGTAATGTAATTATACACAACGAATTGTCTTTATAGCTGTTTCACTTGATTGTCATTATTCGTGGGATAAAGAGAATTTATCTTCTGTTAATTTTCACCTAGACCTACGTCCACTAATCACAACTAAGTAATTTGGAGTAACATCTTATCTTTATTTCTATATAACACTCCCCCAAGAACCATAAGAAAGCCTACTTTTTCTTGCTATTAAATAGTCAATTTGGTTTTTGGCAGATTACTAAGTCACCCAACATATTCATTACAAGAAGACATAATATCATTTCTCACTTTGGTTTTTAGTTTATTATAATCTAGAATAATAGTGTATATTACCTTCTCGTGGATGTCATTAAGAGCTCCAGCTAGAACTCGATAAGCAGCTGTTTTACCACCATACGGTTCACCTACTATCATGTAACCGTGACGTACAATCATCATCTCATAGATCTAGAACAACAAAATATAAAATAACAGCTAGAGTTAACTCCCCTACCATCATGTAACCATGACGTACAATCATAATCTCGTAGATCTAGAATATCAAAATATAAAATAACTGCTAGAGTTAACTCCCCTACCATCATGTAACCATGACGTACAATCATCATCTCGTAGATCTAAAATATCAAAATATAAAATAACAGCTAGAGTTAACTCCCCACCATCATGAAACCATTAAATGTGTGGTATATAAGATTGCTATTTTATAGTGCACCAGGTAAGATGAACAAGGTAAGATGACTATTTTTACCTGTTGTATCTTCTCCAAGAAGAAGTCTGTACATTGTAGATTCATCTTCGTACAATTCTCACGGATGGCTTCATTTAATGTACGATAATCAGGTTCTGGTAGCTTGATTCCCGGGAATAAATCGGAGGTAATACCGTGGAATAGAGGCAAGTCGTGATTCAAGAATTTGGGTAAATTGACATCAATGATGGAACGTAACATCAAAATATTCTCATTCTCTTCTGGATATTTCAACTAAAAATAGAAATATATTAAATTTTATAATCAAAATATAAATATATTAAAAATTTTATATTCAAAATTAAATTCAAAGTTAAAAATTATCTAGTTTTACTTACTAGTAGAAAATCAAGGACAGTGCCTTTAAATTCAGCCACTCCACACCACGTTCAGCACATCACTAACACATATATTAACTTGTAATATTTTATCATTGCTTGATAATGACTAGAGCAGCCTAGTCTAAATGTCGCTCAGTAATAAGCAGTAATTTTATTCCATAGAATTGTCACCTGTGTATTCCAGTTAAATAACTAAAGGCCGTTGAAACAATCCCAACTGCCAAGAGATATTTTACGGGCAAGCAGGACCTCGGTTTTTCGTCCCATCCAAATGACTAGACGACATTACTGTTTTTGTCAGGCCCTACGACCTGCACCTCTGACAAGGGGGGAAACCACGGCATAAAATTCCGATGAACCTCCAGGCTAGGGAGCCAGCATCTTACACACTTAGCCACCGTGGCTCATGTTTTTTGAACATAAACCAAATCTTACCTTGAGATTTCCAGCAGCCGTGAGTACAGATTTGACAGCCCTCATACCGTAATCATAATGATGTTGTGAAGACAGCTGTTCGGAACACAATCGGTACACAGCCACAATTTTAACAGACAGAGGACGAGCATCCACAAAACCACAAGAATAAAGTGAAATTTCTGCAATCATAGCATAATCTGGCACCATCATAGCCACAGTTCTAAACAACGCCTGAAAAAATATAATAAATTTCAATTTATATATCTCTAGGAAAGAATGGATCGTTCATTCCTGGAGTTTTACGTCCACTACCATCAAGGGTGTTATTGTAGACAAGTGTTTCCTTAGAAACTTACAAGACACAATGTCTTTGCAGGGAAGCGCCCAAGGTATATTTCATCCAAAGGAGAGGCTCCAGGTAAAAGGACGGATGAATGAAATGGAGTTTTATGGCATGTTACCTCCAACCGGGCCATATTACCCCAAATATTGTGTAGTCTATTACTGACATGAATTTAATATGAAAATAACGAGGTGAATCGTCACAGATCATATATACACGACAAAATCTGACCTTGAGATTATCGGGAAGGTCGGATCGACCAGCGTAACCAGGGTTCATGGTGATAAATACGGAACAAGTTGGATCCAGATGAATTTCCGTTCCTTCAAACAGTAGAGAGTCCGCTCCCGAGCTAATACCTGAAAAACAGAAAAACAAACAATTTAAATAAGCTTTATAATGGCGATATATTTGGATGGCAAGATGGTTTGTTGCATGGGCGAGAGATCACAGGGCCTGTCACTGGATCAAGTGGTAACGGTTTGACTCTCCACTTGTACATGACAAGGAGTAGGGTCACATGTCCAATGTCAAACATTGTGTGTTTTAGCCGGGTCTTCCGGATTCTCTGCACTGCTAAAGACCCCTACGCACAAGCAAATTACTGAAATTACCAAATTCGTCAAAATTCCTACTACAAAGGGAACTTTGTGTCATCTCAACAACAAGATGCTGTTTCCAAGGTTAGTCCAACAGAAGATTCTTCAAAACACCCATTTAATATTCTTCAGGGTTAACACTTTTCCAAATGTGTGAAAATCATGTTGTCCTTATCCCGGGCTATTTCATCCTTCCCAATGAAAAATCATGTTGTCCTTATCCCAGGCTATTTCGTCCCTATCAATGAAAAATCATGTTATCCTTATCCCAGGCTATTCGTCCTTCCCAATGAAAAATTAAACATCGTTAAAAACATACAGTGAACTTCAAGAAACTTAACGAAAAAAAACCATTCCATTAAGCATGATCAAGACGAGAGAACCCTGGTCGAAATGTCGCCAGAAATATATTTCTTATAGTAAGTGCAAAACAAAAATCTACAAGATAAACCTGCGGACAGGACAGAATATAGACACCGCAAAAAATAAATTTCAAGTGAACGGATCTGGGGAACAGCTGTAAGCGTCCACTGTATTCTATATAATTGTGCCATGTGTGTTATGAAACTGACCTCTTTGAATGGTAAGAATCTGTTGAGCAACCACAGACAAGACCTCCAAATCAATTCGGTTAAACTCGTCAAAACATGACCAAGCTCCACATGATGCTAAACCCTGATCAAACAAAAAAAAATACATCAATTAACAGAGTTCTATTCCTTTAAAATTGTTTTTTTTTCATTTAAAGATGTAAATGTATGATATTATTATTTAATATGGCCGGTAATTTTACTAGTTTTTATTTCTTTAATGTTTTTAAATTATTATAAAATATCTTATTGGTTTGATGTCTGATATTATTAAACATGGATTTTAAAATTTACTGGTTTTTATTCTTTAAAGTTGTAAATTATTATAAAAATGTTTCTAATTGAATTGAAAGAAAATAATCTATTTCAACTCTTTCGTAGGTATCAATTTTTTTTCAATTTACCTTGAAGAATTTTCCAAGAGCGATATAATCGAGACCGTCGGAACAGTTAAATACAACACATTGTTTAGCCACAGCCTTGGCTAAATCCTTCGTAGTCTCTGTTTTACCAGTACCAGCTGGACCTTCTGGTGCTCCACCCAGATGAAGATGAAGAGCACCAAATAATGTTCTGAAACGAAAGAAGGAGTATGAAGGGTTAAAATCTACCTTATTCTACATGCAGTGCCGTACAGAGGTATGGTAGTGCCCAGGACTTAAGATTAAGGCCAGAAATGAAAGAAGGAGCATGAAGGGTTAAAAACTACCTTATTCTACACGCAGTGCCGTACAGAGGTCCGGTGATGTTCGGGAGTTAAGATTAGGGCCAGAAATGAAAGAATGGTTAACAACTACTTTATAGTACACTTAGTGCAGTACAAAGGTTTTGTGATATCCAGGTCTTAAGATTAGGGCCATAAATGTGGTAAATGAAGACATAGGGCAGTTTGTACAATAAAGGTAACAGTAATAATTCCAAAGTTCAAAATATTAATTTTATTTTCGCTTTTTGATTGGATGCACCGCCCTAAAATGGATATCCGACCGTGGCCGCTGCTGTCTCCCGATCCAACCACTGGACCCAACTATAGATTATCTAGTATAAAACTGGACATTGACGTACTATTATAACATACATTACCTGTAACACCTGTCAGTTAAAGGTGTGATAACGAGAAAAGATGTCTTACCTGTATCACCTGTCAGTTAAAGGTGTGATAACGAGAAAAGATGTCTTACCTGTAACACCTGTCAGTTAAAGGTGTGATAACGAGACGACCAGAGTTACCCAGGTATTCATAACCATATTTCAACATGGAATTTATCATTCTAGTTACCATGGAACCTTCCTGTTTAAATAAAAAAAATATGGCACATTGTACTATCAAAAAGACAAATACAATATAAAATGGTAGGCCTACATTTTACCATCAAAGACTTCAGTATACGTAGGCCTATTTAAAAAAAAGCCAACAGTGAGAATAACATTGTTTTAATATAAAATGGTAGGCCTACATTTTACCATCAAAGACTTCAGCATACGTTGGCCTATTAAAAATAAGCCAACAGTGAGAATAACATTCTGTTTTAATATAAAATGGTAGGTCTACATTGCACCACAGACTTTGGCACATAATCAACATCTGATGAACATATACACAAATCTGTACATTTCACCTACATTAGAAACCCAGTGTGACCGACAGACGGACAGATGACTTCTCTCATTTGACTGAAAATTCCAATATAGGTCGTATTATTCCCTCTTCATCACATATTCTTTAACTACTGCAGTGAGAACTATTGGCTCTTTATCTAAATCTTACATGATGGATCTTTAATCTATTATTAAATAAATATCGTAAATTATACAAACCTCCCAGTAATATCGTAACTGACTCAACCAGGCGAAGTCAAGGTTACTCTGGATTCCGTCTTTAACTAGCTGAACTAATACATCTCGGGCATGAACGTCCAGTACAATCAAAGCTTGCAAGGTCACACGATTTTGTTTTGATAATTTGCCTCGAACAAGAGCAACAACGTCATTGATTTGTGAGTTGTTCTGTTCGAGATATTTCTGCATCGCTGCGGGACCGTCCTCCAGTGCCTTGTTGACGTCTGTTGTCCAATAGGCACACGACACACATAAAACAGCCTGACCTGGCCATGCCTTGACCCATTCAATACGTTCAGAGGTCACGTACGCCTCCATCGATTCTCCTATAACCTACAATAACATTTAAATAATATTCACATAACTTTCACAAAACATTTGTATAATATTCAATATTATTTAGAGAGGGAGGGATGGTTTAATGTTCACCCCACACAAACTAGGTCATTTTGGAACTAAATTATGGTTTAATTTTATTTCAATAATTCAAAGAGGTCTTTAGCAGTGAGAGCTCACAGAGAAAACCTACGAGGTTGGACAGGAGAAGACCACGCTACCCAGCTCAATGACAGAACTTATGATTTAACATGCACGCGTTAAACCACTGGACGACCCGACAGGAGACCACGTCACCCAGCTCAATGATAGACCTTATGATTTAAGATGCACGCGTTAAACCACTGGACGACCCGACAGGAGACCACGTCACCCAGCTCAATGATAGACCTTATGATTTAACATGCACGCGTTAAACCACTGGACGACCCGACAGGAGACCACAACACCGGGCTCAATGACAGAACTTATGATTTAACATGCACGCATTAAACCCCTAGATGACCCGACGGAACAACTTATGACATAAGCTTGTATAATTGAAATAAAGATGGGAACAGTAGGACGCTAAAACCATTTTATTTCATTTTATTTTTCTCACTGAGTCACCATAAGTCTATAAAGAGAATAACCATACCTTATGTAAAGATCCCAACATGTCCGTTTCTAATTCACTCAACCATTTTTCAACCTGACCTCGTGCTTTAGACGTTGATATGATATCTTTCAGCTGGACAACTTCACCTTCGCTACTCTTCATATGTGTAATATCTAACACATCCGTAAACTCCAACTTAGCAATGCCTTCAAAACATTTCTTCAGATGAGGTTGAACTCTAAAATAAAATGATTTATTATATCTCCTGCACTATTAGAGAGAGAAGAAATGGGGTTTAGTGTCCACTTGATGCAAAACTAGGTCATTTTAAGAGGAAACCCAGAGAAAATACATGTGGTTGGACAGGCGACACTACTTGCTGTCACCTACAACCGGGGAATCAAAACCACGCCAGTTGACTCAATGACAGATCTTATGATACAACGCCCCTTGTGTTAACAATTCGGCCACCCAACCCCCACTTACTATTAAAGAAGAGTTTTAGCCGTTTCTACTGGACCTTGTTGTCGTTGCTCAGTACAATTTATTAGCGTTTTCCGTGATTCTATCTGGATTGTCTCCCTTATTATCAAAATTATTTGACATTGTTTTTCTTGTTAATCATATATTTTTTTTGCTCATTTTTATTTTCATTACGTAATATATTGAAACAAGACTCAAACTAATGTCCTCATGCAGTATCAATATCGTAGTTAATGTCTTGCTCTCTCTTCCATTAGGGGGTCACGGTGCATAAGTTGGTAAGATGCTGGCTCATGCTGGCTCGCTAGCCTGGAGGTCAGGTGTTCGATCCCTGCATTGGCCAAGAAAGTTCATCCAGATTTTCTGGCATGGTTCCCCCTTGTCAGTGAAGCAGGACGGAGGACCTGACAAGGACAGCTGTCTAGTCGTTCAAATTGTAAGAAAAACCGAGGACCCATGTATACATTACTTGCAGTTGGAATTTGACATAAAAGCAGGCCATAGTGCCACTGCCCATGTAAAATTTCCCTCATAGTTCACTGTATGGCGTAAGCCCGTCTTCATTAGCCCAGTAGGAGTGGAACAGTAGGACGTCAAAACCCTATTTGATTTCTCAACCATTAACCTATATATACCTATATATACCTATATTAACCTATATATAACATACCTAGTAGGATCTTTAGTTTCAGAAAGAATTTCCAATAATTCATCATTAGACAGAAAGAAGAATCGGGGGAAATATAATCTCTTCTTTTCCAGATATTCATTCAATCCCTTAAAATAAAAACAAGGTTAATAATGACTTCATCAAGAGAAATAGATTATTTTATGGTTAACATTATCAAGATGCTCGATTATTACTAGTTCCAAATTCACTTCTGTTGCAGTTTGGTTAGTCCCGACAACTGCGATAGAGTGAGTAGGATTTTGACTAAATTGAACAAAGGATAGGTTTAGCTGTCCTGGGAGTTTGAGGTATCCGCCAAATCCCCATTTTCAATAAATCGTCACATTTCAGGTATTAAACAGCTCTCAATCCATGGTGGAACAGTTTTGTTATTTCAATGAATCTTTATTATTTATGATGCATTTTTAATCTTTCATATGTATCTTTAATCTTTCATATGTATCTTTAATCTTTCATATGTATCTTTAATCTTTCATATGTATAATGCATCTTTAATATTTATAATGCATCTTTAATAATTGTAATGTCTTTTTAATATTTATAATGTATCTTTAATATTTATAAAGTATCTTTAATATTTATAATGTCTCGTTAATATTTATAAAGTATTTTTAAAGTATCTTTTATATTTATAAAGTAATTTTAATATTTATAAAGTAATTTTAATATTTATAATGCCTCTTTAATATTTATAATGCCTCTTTAATATTTATAATGTGTCTTTAATATTTATAATGTGTCTTTAATATTTATAATGTGTCTTTAATATTTATAAAGTAATTTTAATATTTATAATGTATCTTTAATATTTATAAAGTATCTTTAATATTTATAAAGTAATTTTAATATTTATAAAGTAATTTTAATATTTATAAAGTAATTTTAATATTTATAAAACATCTTTAATGTGTCTTTAATATTTATAATGTGTCTTTAATATTTATAATGTACCTTTAATTACCTTTAATATTTATAATTTACCTTTTGAATGAGTTCAAGAAGTTCGTTAGATTTCTTCAATCTGTCGAGAATTTTATCAATCTTTAGAACAGCTAGTACATGTTTATCAACGATGGCTGATTTCATAATATCTCTCCAGTTCTTATCAACTGTCGAAAATCGTCGGCCTTCTTCAGGCATCTGAGCCATAATATCGGGTGAGCTAAAAATCGGCTCTAGATAAAGCCACGTGGCTTGAACTTTTAACCATTCATCCAATATATCTTGGAGAGTCATCAGTTTACTCTCCCATTCTCTAGAGAAAAAAAATAATATTGTTGATTATTACAAATTTAACGTTCAATACATATTGATTTAATTCAGTTATTTAGATATGAAAGAGTATTAAAAATATGGGTAAAATAAGTTCTTGTATATCACAATGTCAGTTTAAAACGCGGGGTTAAAATTTGCTGTTGTGAGAAAAGAGAGAGACAAATGGGGTTTAACGTCCACTTGATACAAAATAGGTCATTACAGGACTAACGTATGGTTCAATTTTATTTTGTAGGTGTCTTTAGCAAAGGGAGGAAACCAGAGCCACAAGCTCGGACAGGGGACCCTGCAGGAAATTCAAACCAACCCACTTAAGACTCAATGACAGACCTTATTATCTAAAGCGCATGCCTTAAAACATTCGGCCACTTACCCTCCTCCCCCTGTGAGAAGAGAACTCAAAACACCATATGGTGCTAGAACCAACGTGGTAAAAACAAAGCGAACTTACTTGATTTCTGCTTCAAATGGTTTGATGAATGGAGAACCACGCATAGTCTGAGTTTTAACTATATGATCGTCCAGTACTTGTTGTATATCATCTACTGATGATAGAATGGACGTACCAGACTCACGATATGGTATAATCGTAAACTCAAACTGTAATAAATAGATATAAACCGAATTAAAATATTTGGCAGGAAAATAGACCAATATATGACCATCTCCCACAAAACCAAGTGCTTGTCGAACAACTTCATTTTGTACAACGGGTACAAAAGCATAAACTGTGTGCCTTCGTGATGCTGTTAATGATCCAACTCCAGATGATACAATCAATTTAAAAAGAATTGCTTAGGCTGTGTACTATATATGCCAGATCTATTTTTATAAAAATGACCAAGAGCCTGGTTTTGTGGGAGCATCCTCATCTTCAATAATCTCAAACCATT